TTGTGACAATGGTTGTGATAATGGTTGTGACAATGGTTGTGACAATGGTTGTGACAATGGTTGTGACAATGGTTGTGATAATGGTTGTGATAATGGTTGTGATAATGGTTGTGTTGTGATAATGTGTTGGATATGGTGTGGAATGGTTGTGGAGAGGGGTGTGATAAGTGTGAAAATGGTTGTGATATGGTTGTGATAATAATGGTTGTGATAATGGTTGTGATAATGGTTGTGATAATGGTTGTGATAATGGTTGTGATTATGGTTGTGATAATGGTTGTGATAATGGTTGTGATCATGGTTGTGGTAATGGTTGTGATCATGGTTGTGATAATGGTTGTGATAATGGTTGTGATAATGGTTGTGATAATGGTTGTGATAATGGTTGTGATAATGGTTGTGATAGTGGTTGTGATAGTGGTTGTGATAGTGGTTGTGATAGTGGTTGTGATACTGGTTGTGATACTGGTTGTGATAATGGTTGTGATAATGGTTGTGATAATGGTTGTGATAATGGTTGTGATAATGGTTGTGATAATGGTTGTGATAATGGTTGTGATAATGGTTGTGATAATGGTTGTGACAATGGTTGTGACAATGGTTGTGACAATGGTTGTGACAATGGTTGTGACAATGGTTGTGATAATGGTTGTGATAATGGTTGTGATAATGGTTGTGATAATGGTTGTGATAATGGTTGTGACAATGGTTGTGATAATGGTTGCGATAATGGTTGCGATAATGGTTGCGATAATGGTTGTGATAATGGTTGTGATAATGGTTGTGACAATGGTTGTGACAATGGTTGTGATAATGGTTGTGACAATGGTTGTGACAATGGTTGTGACAATGGTTGTGACAATGGTTGTGATAATGGTTGTGATAATGGTTGTGATAATGGTTGTGATAATGGTTGTGATAATGGTTGTGATAATGGTTGTGATAATGGTTGTGATAATGGTTGTGATAGTGGTTGTGATAATGGTTGTGATAATGGTTGTGATAATGGTTGTGATAATGGTTGTGATAATGGTTGTGATAATGGTTGCAATGGTTGGGCTAATGGTTGTGATAATGGTTGTGATAATGGGTGATAATGGTTTGATGGTTGTGTGGCAATGTTTGATTGGTGTGATAATGGGTGTGGGTACTGGTTGTGATAATGGGTGTTGTGGTTGTGATACTGGTTGGGATCATGGTTGTGGTATGGTTGTGATATGGTTGTGATAATGGTTGATAATGGTTGTGACAATGGTTGTGAAATGGTGTGTGGTTGTGACAAGGTGTGATAATGGTGGTGATAATGGTTGTGATAATGGTTGTGATAATGGTTGTGGTAATGGGTGGTTGGTAATGGGTGGTTGATAATGGGTGGTTGATAATGGGTGGTTGATAATGGGTGGTTGATAATGGGTGGTTGATAATGGTGGTTGATAGTGGTGGTTGATAGTGGTGGTTGATAATGGTGGTTGATAGTGGTGGTTGATAATGGTGGTTGACAATGGTGGTTGATAATGGTGGTTGATAATGGTGGTTGATAATGGTGGTTGATAATGGTGGTTGATAATGGTGGTTGATAATGGTGGTTGATAATGGTGGTGGATAATGGTGGTTGATAATGGTGGTTGATAATGGTGGTTGATAATGGTGGTTGATAATGGTGGTTGATAATGGTGGTTGATAATGGTGGTTGATAATGGTGGTTGATAATGGTGGTTGATAATGGTGGTTGATAATGGTGGTTGATAATGGTGGTTGATAATGGTGGTTGATAATGGTGGTTGATAATGGTGGTTGATAATGGTGGTTGACAATGGTGGTTGATAATGGTGGTTGATAATGGTGGTTGATAATGGTGGTTGATAATGGTGGTTGATAATGGTGTTGATAATGGCTGTTGATAATGGCTGTTGATAATGGCTGTTGATAATGGCTGTTGATAATGGCTGTGATAATGGCTGTGTGATAATGGAATGGCTGTGATAATGGATAATGGTTGTGGTTGTGATAATGGTTGTGATAATGGTTGTGATAATGGTTGTGATAATGGTTGTGATAATGGTTGTGATAATGGTTGTGATAATGGTTGTGATAATGGTTGTGATAATGGTTGTGATAATGGTTGTGATATGGTTGTGATAAGGTTGTGTATGTGATAGTGGTTGTGATAGTGGTTGTGATAGTGGTGGTGACTGGTTGTGATACTGGTTGTGATAATGGTTGTGATAATGGTTGTGATAATGGTTGTGATAATGGTTGTGATAATGGTTGTGATAATGGTTGTGATAATGGTTGTGATAATGGTTGTGATAATGGTTGTGATCCTGGTTGTGATAACGGTTGTGATAACGGTTGTGATAATGGTTGTGATAATGGTTGTGATAATGGTTGTGATAATGGTTGTGATAATGGTTGTGACAATGGTTGTGATAATGGTTGTATGGTTGTAATGGTTGTGATTATGGTTGTGACAATGGTTGTGACAATGGTTGTGATAATGGTTGTGACAATGGTTGTGACAATGGTGGTTGTGACAATGGTTGTGATAATGGTTGTGATAATGGTTGTGATAATGGTTGTGATAATGGTTGTGATAATGGTTGTGATAATGGTTGTGATAATGGTTGTGATTAATAGTGGTTGTGATAGTGGTTGTGATGGTTGTGATAATGGTTGTGATAATGGTTGTGATAATGGTTGTGATAATGGTTGTGATAATGGTTGTGATAATAATGGTTGTGATAATGGTTGTGATAATGGTTGTGATAATGGTTGTGATAATGGTTGTGATAATGGTTGTGACAATGGTTGTGACAATGGTTGTGATAATGGTTGTGATAATGGTTGTGACAATGGTTGTGACAATGGTTGTGACAATGGTTGTGACAATGGTTGTGATAATGGTTGTGATAATGGTTGTGATAATGGTTGTGATAATGGTTGTGATAATGGTTGTGATAATGGTTGTGATAATGGTTGTGATAATGGGTGTGATAATGGGTGTGATAATGGTTGTGATAATGGTTGTGATAATGGTTGTGATAATGGTTGTGATAATGGTTGTGATAATGGTTGTGATAATGGTTGTGATAATGGTTGTGATAATGGTTAATAATGATGAATGCTGTTTAATAATGGTTGTATTATCGTGTATTATAATAGCTACAGTAGTGGTTATACACCCATTAATAATCGTTAATAATTCGCAATGGTTTGAATAATGGTTACTAATAATGGGGTGTATAACTAATGTTGACTCATGACAAATGGATAGTTGGAGTAATGTGGTAAACCCAATGCCATAAGCCTACCATCTGGGGATGCTAAGCACACCAACCATAAAAATGGTGATGAATTGGAGATGGTTTTGCATTGGGTGTACACAGATTACCTTTTCATTTGTGGTTCTTTAGCCCAAGATATGAATTGGTCAATATTTTTGTTGTGGTTTTGAAGCCCAAAAATATGAATTAGTCAATATGATGTTCTTCAAATTGCCTAAGAATATTCAAAAAGTGAACATTGAAAACATCCCATGTGGGAGGTTCTGTTGGAAAAAATCCCATGAAACTGGCAAGCTGCAATCATGGCGACTTCACCCTGAGAGCCTGACACAAGTCCCAGCCTTTCAAAAAGGTCTGCCGCTTCCTGTGAATTCACCGAATCTCTGGTGTGTTTTTTTTCGGTCGTTGTGACTGCTCCGAAAAAAACATCCTATGGCTCAAAGCTACCTTAATGATGGTTAATAATGGTTAATGATTGTTAATAATGTTTAATGATGGTTAATGATGGTTAATAATGGTTAATAATGGTTAATGATGGTTAATAATGTTTAATGATGGTTAATGATGGTTAACAATGGGTTGCTTCTCGAAATGACCCTTAAATTTGTGATTGACAAGCGGCCCTGCATGTTATAACTTGCCACATCTTCTGTGGTTTTTATCATCATAGATCCACCGCTCATCCACGCCTCTGGATCTTCCACCATGAGATACTGCAAATCGTAATGATCCAGGGTTGAAAGGAGAACGATGGCATTCAAGGCATTGTAGCAGGTTTGCGGCCAGGTCCTGAAGAGAAGAACACGATTATTGCCAAAATCATTGTCGAAAATAAAGATTATAACAATGATATGTTTTGCTATCATCATCATCAGTTTTGTTATTACTACTGTGAGTCTTATCAGAGTCATCATTGTTATTATTGTTAGTCTTATTATTGTCATCATTGTTAGAATAATTGTCAGCCGTGTTATATTGCCTGTATTGTTTTATAATGAGTTATATTTGTTTATATATATATAATATTGGATTGTTTTGTATGATCTTACACTAGTTTATATTACCCAGAAAACCTAGTGTGGTTTGTTTTGGTCACTTTGCGACGTCCCCATATTTATCGTCACTGGAAAGGGGTCGTTTTAGGGGCAAGAAACCCACGGTGATTGGAATTATATATTTATGGCAGGCTATGGGTATTTCTGGCACTTTCGCCGACCACAAGTGCAGCAAAAAAACGCATTGCCTCGTTTTCCCTCAGAAATGCCAAAGTCACAAAATAATGGGCCACTGGCCCAACGGAGCCGAAGACTATGGGCAACTATAGTTTTCCAGGTAGGTTATATTACTTTATATATATATATATACGGTATATATATATATACACAGTGTATATATATAATTTCTCATTACTTGACATTGTTTTGTATTGCCTGTCATTACTTAGCACTATAATTTAAGGAGACAAATAAACATTCGACATCTGCAGTTCTGGAGCAAAAAAGATGGAGGGGGCTCCAGTGATGTTCAGTGGCGTTTCAGAGTGCGTGGCGATCTTCTCCATTCTTGTGGCTCAATGATTTTACATCAGATATTTTAACTTATAAAGACCACAAGCCAGATATAAGTTTTGTAATCAAATATTGTACGTGTTCTTATAAACATAAACATCAGATATTTTACATCAGATATCTTAAGATTCTTAAGAACATGTTCTTGTGACATGTTGTATCTCTATACCAATTTCTAGCCAGCCTCCATCCTTGGGCCCATCCTTTGGCACCATTCCTCGGCACAAAGCCGGTGGTTTATCGATCCTCATTTTCCCCATGAAATGGCCATGGGGTATACTCCATTTCCAGACACACATCTAATTTGATTAATTGATGCTGATTTTTTTGATGTTTTTTGTTCCACTAGAAAGACCAACTCAAGACTCAGTGGACCATATGCGATAATCATTTTGGATCTGAGAAATTGATGCTGAAACCTGTTTCCATTGGTGGATTTGCCTCAATCTCTCCGCTAAAACACCCTCAAATCGCTCGCTATTTGGCCACACCATGCCCTGAGGTAGTGGCCCTTGTACCACATACTGATGCCAAATCCTTAGATAATGGCGTGACCATGCTTCACCGACATCCGGCAACTTTGCCGCGCCCAACCAATCGCAGATCTGTTTGGTACACCCAAATCACCTGAGTCGTAGACTCTTTCATGAGCCTGGTTTCATAGGCCTGATGCTCTTGGGGTGCTGTAATTACATGGCTTTTGAGACCTTGTTGGAGGTTTCCTAAAATGGGAGTACCCCAAAATCATTTATTTTAATAGGATGTTCCATTGTAAACCATCCATTTTGGGATCCCCCATTTTAAGAAACCCCCTTGTTTCTGCCATCCAAACGTGTTTGCAATTTTGGTGCCCTGAAAGACTCTTCAAAAATCGCCAGGAGCACGTTTCTGTAGGCCAGCTCATCATCTTCATAGTTCGCATCACGACCACCAAAGACAAACAAGAAAATACGGTCCTTGCCGGGAAAATTTGCGCACTAGGTGGATGTTGATGACTGGTCTGTTTTTTTTCATCATGATGCTGTGATGCTGAAGCGTTGTCGGCGTTGTCAGCTTTGTCGGCCTGAAGGACCCGCTCCAAGTAGACAGCTCCAACCACTTGATTTAGCGTGGCCACAATGGAGGCCAAGCGTAACCACCTCGGCGACCCATCGGGATTGACATCAGTGCAACTAACCGTAACTAACCTCAACTAACCTCAATGATCTCCCAGTTTCATCCAGTTTCATCACTCGTTTCATCACTTGTTTCATCGGTGATGTCATGTCACCGCTGAGGTCATGACACTGAGACGTCATTATTCACCAGTTTAAAGCTCACTGCCTGGCAGCGCAAGTTTCATCTGAGATTCATGGGATGGAAAATGACAATGTGGAACCACAAACCAGAACCAGATATGTTCCGGAAAGATATGAATTTATTGAAAATATATGGAGTAGTCAACCAGAATCGACCAGATATGATTATCTTCATAAAGCTGCACGAAGCTGATCTCCAAGGCTTTTTCAGCACAGACCGATGCTGTGAACATGTCAGGAGTGCAAGCATCTTCACGGAAAATGCACAGACCGATGCTGTCGCACAACAAATATTGAAAAGGACGAACCTCGCATTGGGATTTGAGTGGAACTCAAGATCTGGGCAAGAACTGCCGTGCTGCAAATATTCGGACAGTTCACCACTCTCATTCAAAGCTGAGAAATACTCTGGGTACACCTATCATGTCCTATCTACATGGTCATCTACATGTATGGTGAAACCATGTGAAACCTATCTACTGTACACCTTTTAGAACTGAGATGTCTTTCATTGACCCAAGGCTGTCACGTAATTGTGAGCACGGCATAGCCAAAGGTATTTCTTCGATGGGCAAACCTGAGCCAATTTTTGTTGCACTACTGAAATGGTCCCGAAAAGGAAAGATATATAGAAAGGCCATGGTTGCATCTCAAGACGTCGAAATCAACATGTTGAATCACCAGTTGCACATCAAAATCGGACCATGTTTTTTTTGGTCCTGGATCTTTAAGTGGCTGGCCAAATTTTCTCGGAGGACCTGATGCCAAAAAAAGATGCAAAAAATCAGGAGCTGAGCAGCTGCATTTTTGTGCTGAGGGTCAGACTCTGAGAGCCAGAGGCGAAACTCATGGGAAATCAGAGACGGATGCACCTCAATGAGAAAATCCTGGCACCCCTGAAACACCTGGCGAAACACCTGGCTGAATTAGCGATCGTTCAATGGCGCTTCCACCACCCTTTCCCAGTACTCAATCCATTGAAGTCCTTTGAGATCTGTGCTCGCGCCAGCAACTTGACAGCAGAAAAGGTGCTCACCTGCCGCGTCTAAGAAACTTCACAACCACTGATCCAAATGGGTATGGCTCACACAATTGGGTTGCCAATAGATCCAAACAGATAGTCGATGGTGGTCACTGTTTTGAGATGTTTTGAGTGCCAAACCATCCAGTTCTTGGTTGATATTTCCAGGGTGGTGTCAATCTTCCGGCCTGCGGTAAGAGCCTTTGGAAGAAATAGCCGATTGCATGGTAGCGCTTGTACCTTCCAAGACTACCTGCTTTTTGCGCCGCAATCATCCAAGAAAAACAAGGCAAGACTCAATGGGTGAGGTTTGGACTCAAGGTTCATTAAACGCTGAATGGCAGCTTGTTGGTTTGGAAAGGGGAATGGTCAACACGGCATAGCCAGGGAGGTTCAAACTACAGTAATTAGTTATCACCAAGTCCTGACTTGGATTCACGGGTGTTGACCAACTGATGCGCACTCGGAGACCTCGCAAATCACAATAAACATCAGGTAGGCCGCATGTACCTGTGGCAGTTCAGCATGCCGCATGCCCCTTTTTCAGCAGGCCACCTCCAAAGAATATCCCCAAGCCTGCCACATACCCCAATTCACAAGCCTCTGAAGGTGTGGAAAAAAACTCTCCATTCGCTCTACCGCAACTAAGACTGGCACAAGTTGGATGAACAACCACACCACCTGGTCCAGAATGGTACAGCAAGCACATGGATTGATTGTACTCGTATGAAAGCAAGCTGACGCATATCTGAGATCGCACCCGTACAGGAAACAACACTGAAGTGTCAAGCCCTGCGCCTCCCAAATTGCAACCATCACTGCAGAATTCACAATGAGCATTCGAGTCCTCGACAAAACATAGATAGGAAAAGTGCCTGCAAATTGTTCGATTCTTGGTGGTTAATCATCTGGTTGTACAATATCATATATCATTAAATATATCAACAACCAGGTACTGTACTGGTGTGGGCATTGCTAGGCTGTAGGCTCGATGATGATGGTTCAAGCCATTCTGTCTTTCCTCTTGTCACTGTTGACACCATCTTTCACCACTGGGATCCACTGGGAGCCCTGGCGAATGGTCTGAGATCAGCCCAAAAATACTTGCCTTGGTCCAGAAAAAACGCCAGCTGCAAGTTTTGCTGGTGGCAAAACTTGGATTCCCCCGAGTTACCTCAAACAAAAATAGGAAAGTTAATGGAAAGTTAATGGATGATGATTGATGCGTTGCACCAAAAATACCTCCAAACCGACCAAAAATAAAATCCTCCTGGGGCTTTGGGTGCTTTTCTGGACCTTCAAATCGACCGGCCTTGAAGTTGTCGTCGTCCAGGAGCTCTTTCTGAGGCAGATGAGGGACTTTAAGGTATCAAAAAAATAGATATTGAATGATATTGATCCTCCAAACCAGTATTTCCCCACATAAAGAGGCTAGAAAAGAAAAGGTTGCCTAAAAATCTCTGAAGATTGCCTTAACTTCAACCAAAAAATATTCTCTCATCCAGAATCAACATGTTCGTTCATCCACGGAGGTGGCCTTCCAAACTCCGGTAGATCTTTTCCAAACATCCAAAATCAGGGATGAAACTTGATAAAACATTATACATGATTAAAACATATTAAAACTACCAAACCACCAAACTTTATCCAAAAATTCAAGGACCTAAGGATGATATTTCATATTCTACCTTTTTTTCACTCAAACATCCAAAAGCATGCCAAAGACAAGTCATGACTTTCGGAGAGCCAGCCCGAACAGGCTCACCTGGATCTTGCTCTTGGATTCCGCTCCACCACCGTTGGAGAGTCGATCTGCAACCATCAGACCCGGTCACGATTCAACAACGGATTCAATGCTTTGGTTTTGGTGGTAAACTCTGAAAACCCGAAACCATGGGTTTTCAATATCGTCAAATTGTGTGTTTTCAGTTAAGAGGGCTTCCCTTGAAGCAATTCTAGGATCAAGGCATGTTTGTTGAAGCACTATGTTTTTTGGGTCATTTGTTCTGATTGCGTATATCATATCCATATATTCAGCATCCAACATTTGATGAAACCGATGTTGACCATCCACAAAGTTGATCGTCTCCAAACTCTCTAGGTTTGTGGAGATCACAAGGCGGACTTTGTGAAGCTGAACTCGCATCACACCTGAATAGTACACCTCCGATTTTTTTTAAGCACACCCAAAAGGCAAATCTCAAAAGATTGTTCAAAAAAACAACCATATTCATCCATATTCCATGATATTCCTATGTTTTTTGGGCGGGACTTCCAGGGCCCAGCAGTGTCTCAAGGTTTTCCGGTTCGGAAAAGCGCCCAGCAGTGCCTACAATGATGCGCCAGTCCAGCGTCCCAAAGACCTCCACGAAATAGGTCTTGAAGATCGCCCTGGGCGACAAAAAAATGACTCTGGGCAGCTGGTTTCACCATTGGGAAACAAACACTTTCAGAATATGGTGTTTATATACATATATATATATGTATATATATATATGGGTTAAAGATGGCTTGACAATATAGATAGTTTATATAACTGATGGAATTTGTGATCATAAGAGATGATTTCACATCAAGGTTCATTCAGCACAGATTCACCACAAAAAAGATGTGTGTTTCCCTCAAAATGGGGGTGGATTTCAGGACAAAAACCGGGTCTCGGGGTGTTCAGGGTTTTGAAATGTTTTGAACATCCCCAAAGGCACTGAAACCATTGCTGTTCTCAGCTGCTCAAAATGCTGTGATAACTGGGATAACCCTTAAACTAAGCTGCCGACCAGTCCAAATGTAGCAGATAGGTCACGTTGAAAGCAACACTGGCCACAAGGACCAGGAACCAAAAGTACTTCCTGAGCATCCGCAACGTGTTTCTTGACTTGGGTAGCCCAAAATTCGATCGTGCACCATCAAAAGTGATGAAAAAGATATGGGTTTCTCTGGGAATACCCCTAAATCATAAATCCCATGGATATGCCCCGTTCAAATAACAAGCCCCTGCGGTTTAAAGTTTGCCTCACAGGTAGAAAACCCCCCAGTTGTCAATCCTGGCTGCCATCCCCACCATGCCACTAAGCCCTGCACTCTCGCAGCGGAATCTCTTTGACCATGCTCAAACCGCCGCAGGCCTGTGAAACATATTCCTTTGCAACTGGCTTCAAACAGTATGGCTCAAATATGCTCAAATGATGAGCAATCATCAACCGACCCACAAATTGAGTTGGTCATGTTGAGTATTTCAAACGAAACAACTTTGGGGTGGCAAACTGAGGATGGCTCAAACTGAACATCAAATATGCGGGTTTTTTTTTTAATCCAATTTCCAGCCATACTCCAACACCCTCTTCACGGGACTGAAAACTTCCGCCAATGATCAATGGACTTGGCAGAGATCTTCCTCATTTGACCGCATGATCTGTGAACAACACCCGACATAGCACAGTCAATCCAAAACCATGGGTTTGTGTGAAAATCATATGCCCAAAAAAATATTAATGGTTTATCATTATTTTTCAAATTACATGTCATAGATTGGGTTTTTTGGTCACATCTACCCCGAACCTCCAGGTTGATGTCCTGCAGGAACTCTGGCCTGAAGCAGTTGCTTCACTTGAGGCTGTTGGTCAGACCAAGGGTCCCGTAAGAAACTCCCTATGATTGGGCGGAATCACCTTTGGGGGGGCTGGCTAGATCATTTTAAAATATGTTAAATCCCCATGATCCAAGGGTGTGAAGACGTGTTAAGACCCTGGGGAGAGGACTCGGGCTCGTTCTTGAACTTGTCAAAGATCAAACGAGAGAAGTCCTGCGATTCTGAACCATGTCCAAAAAAAAAAAGGTGATGAGCCACTAGGCCGTACCAGATCAGTTTCCCAATTGATCAACTGAAATGCGGGTTTTAAAGTTGAATAGTTCAACTGTTTGATGTCCACTGTGATTTCGCGATGGATACTAACCTCTGGTAATCAAAAATGGCACTGCGAAATCCAGTCAGGTTCAACGGCTGGAAAATCACTCGGTGCTTCAATGAGTAACCAAAATGCACATTTAGCTTTGGTAAATCAACGTGGCTATAGAAAATGGCCCATTTAGTTTGATGAATTTCCCATTAAAACCTCCTTGTAATTCACGGCTTTCCCAGCTAGCCACAAGTTGATTACCATTATCAACCATTATAGAATTATGATTAACAATGTTGATAATCATTCACATTTTTATACACTTATGATAGTGGTATTGTAATTATTTGTAGAACCATAATGAAACTGATTATATATTAAGCATTATTAAGCATTACTAAGCATTATCAAACATTAACCATATGAACACACGTCATTGCTTATTAACCGGTTGCTGTAGCACTTCTTAACCACTATCAAACTAAGACCTATCAACCAGTACTGATTACTATCATGTAAACTAACCACATTCTTAACCATTCATGGCATGATGTAACCATTGATTTGATTGATAACTAATATTAAACATTACTGATGATTAGTAAGCATAAACCATTATTAACCATTATTAACCAATAAATTGACCGTTGGTAAAACATAACCATTATCAACCAATGAATTAACCATTCATGGCATGAGATTCATCTCCTCCGTGATGTAGCCTTCCTTTACAGCGTGGCCCATGTCTTTGGTCTCGGCAAAGTCGGTCAAATTCAACAAGTCTCGGCGCAGGTCCTGACAACCACCGGCGAAGGCAAGGGGGCTTGTCAATAACATGTAAATAACCGCTGAGATTTATATAATATAGCTTTATATACTGTAGTACTGTATGTATATATATATAACTGTACCTAGACACATGTATTGATATACCATTGTTAATTTTCCATGGGATTGCATTAGGGTATAAACAATGGGATATATATATATATAATATATATATATATGTATCTTAACATCTGTATTGACATGCATACGGTAAGACATAATAATCGTTGTATAACCAACTCTATCGTTATTTGGCTTGTCGGTGACGGATCGGATCGAAACCTCCAGACATCCGCGGGATTCGGATGGCCTCTGTGTAGGCGCGATTGCGAAGTTCGGGTTGGATCGCTGTCTCCAAATCCCTCCATTTGTCCTGCAATGTGAACTTGTCAATGATGAATAGTTTGAAAATTTACCGCTGTTTCTCCAGAAAAACTAGGAAACTACGATTGACTCTACAAGACCCTTGGAATCCTTTCAAGCTAGCGATGTCGAAACGAGTCTGATCCCAAAGTAAAAATTGAAATGGGCCGGATGCGGTATCTTTCATATGGATGAGTTTAAAAAATGGATTGAAAATGGTGTGTGTTATAAAATCCCTTGTTTCATCATGCCTTGGCCATCCGCAGTCTCTCGGTCCTTAAAATACCCCAGCCCGGATCCTGGCAGACAGGGGCAGCATGGGCAACATCTAAATCGAGTGAATCGAATTGCTTAGTTCTGACTTTTGACATGTGGTTTATATCCTTTCAATTCAACATTGTTCCATCCTGAGAACAATATATACATACATACGCACGCACGCACGCACGTACGTACGTACGTACGTAATCTCGTACGTACTATGTATGTATGCCTGTGTGCGTGTAAGTATTATATGTATATTTGAGCTTGCCTGAAAATGGTGGGATTCAACCCTCATAGCAATTTGATTGGGAAAATACATCAATGAATTCCGGCATTCTGGTCTACCCTCTGGCAATTTCACAGTTTGCTATAGAAAATGGCCATGATTGGCCATGTGTTTGGTTGATTTTCCATGATTTTCCTATCGAAAAATGGTCATGTTGGATTCTTCGCCTATGAAAAAATGGCCTGATTTTCCCATCGATCCGCCCAAAACCGCACCTTGAGAGTCCAAGCTGGCCAGCCCCGGCAGGGAGGAAGGTCGCCGACTGCTCGGTCGCACATCGTCATCCTTCGGGTGGCCAGGGACGGCCAGTGGGTCAAAATTGGGTACCCTCTGGTAATGGCTGACATAGCTATTGAAAATGGCCATTTATAGTGGATTTACCCATTAAACATGGTGATTTTCCATAGTTATGTTAGTTTACCAGAGGGTACCCCAAGAAGTTGATGGCTTGTACTTACTGGTGCTAAACGTAGGGAATGGATGGCTTGCTGGGGGTTGCTGGGATGATTTTTTTTCTGGTGATGACTGGGATCATTCCCGAAAATTCCCTGCGTTTAGCACCAGTAAGTGTACAAAAAGATGATATGTTGATGGTTAATACAGCTGCGCGGAAAAAAAAGAAACTGTCCCGGCTGAAAAATGTGATCCATCATGATCCATCCCCATGTGTCGTTTAACGGATGGGCGGATTATATCCAGTGTGTTGATTTTGGGTTTTGATTCTGCGGAGTTGACGTCATTTTTGGACCATCCACTTGGGTTTTGGAACATCCAAGAGTTGGTTTCGCTATTCAATTCTTGGTGTTGGGATCATCCATTTTCCCTGAAACCAAGTCTGGGAAGTGGCTCGATCGGGTCAAATTCGAAGACCAAACAAACAATAGCTTGGGCTGATCCAATTCTGACCCAGAACTAAAGTGTCACAATGGGGATGTCGTGAGGATACAAAAATTAGCAAAACAGGGCATGCGATTACACATGTTCCAGCTGCACAGGTACACCACACAAGTCAGACGATTCCGTAATCAGGGGATCAACGGGACTGCCGGGGGGAACCGCCATGGTCCCTACACTCTGGATCATCCTGTTCAGAATGATCGCGTGCGTTAGTGCTTTGTGTTTTTTGGGCTTCCCCAGTTGCAAAGGATTCCAGGCAGAGCAGGGAATCTAATCCCGTCCTCCTCCCAGGACTCCATCAAACTGGCCACCCGCCCACGAGGTACGTTGCGCAAATCCTTGGCCGCTGCCTCGGCGCACGAAGCAGCATGGCCTAAACTGTCCCACCTGTTTTGGAGGTGAAAAAATATATAGAAATATATGGAAAAAAAAATGGTTGGCATCCCCCAAATCTATCCAAATCGCCGGTGTTTGAAACCTCAAATTTCTCCACAGTTGATGTTCTTCATCAAAACTCATGATGGGGAGCACTCCAAAAAAATCAAAAAATGGCTGGAGATTGATATACCCAAAAGTCCTCCGCACTCAGCTTCACACCAGCATTTTGGATTGCCTCAGCTCCAGCAAAACGCGCTGGCAATGCCAAGTTCCCACATGCTGAGCTTCAGGCCCCTTGGTCAAACGCCTCCTCATACTCCTTTCAGGAGACCTTAACCAAAAAAAAATACGCTAACCCACACTTTGGAACCCTCAAATCCCCACGGTTTGAAACCTCATCTTCTTCCCATGAAAATGGCCATTAAATAGGATGTCCACCGCAGTGGACATGCCAAGTGCGTGGCTCGGTCCGTTCACCCACCAATCGCCGGTCAACCATGGCCATGGACTGACGGCGGGTCCTGCTGAAGGTAAGAACCGAGAAAGGTTTCATCAATGAATCCATGACATTGGATGGATTGAAGGGGAAATCTTTAGGAAACAGAAATCTGTAGAAAACACTAAGAAACCATGTTTTTAAAGGCTGAATAACATACAGGGGTTCTTGTAATGTTTCCGATTATCCAAGTGTGGGAACATGACACATGCATTCGACTGCATCCAGGGTCTCAACTTGGGTAAACACGAATCAGCCAAGCTGTTTTTTCACCAGGTAAAACATGTTGGCTATTTCCAATACAATGGAACCCACTCTGAAACCTTGGCATCATATCATATATCATCTATCATATATCATCTATTATAAACCACATATATCTATCAATATCTATCAATATCTATCATATATCTAGACAAACGGTCAAAGAACTTCTCCAGCGAATCCCGCCGCGCCTCGCGGGTGCCATGAGGTCCATGGTTGGTCGTGTGGCCACCTTGTCGATGCAAACCGTCCGTCGCCTTGTCGCCGCTTGTTGCCGACTCATTGGTATCGAAGCATCCTTTTAGGGTCATGGAGGTCATGAGCAAAAACCTCACTATTTGAGGTTCATGTGGTTTATAATATGTTTATATATATATATTATATATATGTATATATATATATATATGTATATATATATGTGTATATATATATATATGTATATATATATATGTATATATATATATGTATATATATATATGTATATATATATGTATATATATATATGTATATATATATATATATCATGAAGCCAATGACTATTTGTTTCCACAGCTGAAATTCACTCGGTTGATTTTTTTACCAAAATCTACAGGAAACGTGGGATATGGATGCATGGTTTTCCAATGTTTTCCGTAAGTATAGTTTATGTAATACTACTCGAGACTATAGGCTATGAAACTGACCAAAATTGGTCGTTCCCTAGGTTGCAAATTTTGGCTCATCAATACGACGTCAATCTTGGTGCTGGATTTCCTGCAGGTTAGAATAAGTGCTGTAATTCTAGGAAACTCCAAACCTTGAAAATGATGTTGGTTATGTTGGTTGAGTCACATTCATTGGATGGAGGCTCTGCCATGAATCACTGCATTCAGGTCCCCACGGAGCTTCTAAAGTCTCAGTCGGAAGCGGCAGCCTGTCGTTGCTATGTGAGATGCACAACCTTGTCATCCAGAACTCCGACTGTCCCACACTGATTGGCAGTTCTCATATTCCAATGATTGTGAAGATGCCCCCATTGCTCATCCTGGTACAGTGTAAGTCAACAACTGCAGGCCACAGTGGGCGGCCACAGGCATTCCATGGCATTCCCAGGCCTCACAGTTACAGTCTGGCGAGGACTCATCTTTTGCATGACGACCCAACGCGCGCCGCTCGACCCAACGAGCGCCCGATGTGGAGGTTTCCGAGACAACCGTGACTTTCCAGTGAAACTCTGGGGATGAGCCGGATGAGCCATGAATACTCTGGGTCAGCCATATGATTTCCGTTGATTTCCGGTTTCAATGGGGATTTATGACGGTTGTTAACAAGAGAAGCCTGTGTAGATTCACTGGCGAGCTTACTACTGTTTGATGTCTGCTTCTCCTGTTGAGCCGTTTAGATCAGATTTCTTCTTGCAAACTCACGTCAATGTTCAAAGCAAGCTGTGCAGAGCGGGAACCTCGCAAAAATTCAGCCATGGCAGCCACGCAGTTTTTGACAACAACACGCTCTTCCATCCTAGCTTCTACAAAGAGTTTCCAAAGACTATTGAACGTAACGTGGTAAACCCACTAGTAAACCTACCATTTGAATCATCTGAACATGATTTTCACCACCCGTTCACGGTAATGAGATTTACCACATTACTCTTGTCCAGCTTACTCTTGGCTGGAATACCCAGGGACTGGTGGTAGCTCCCGATCTTCTATGCGGTGACTCGACATCCAGGAATTGAGGAAATCATCCGAAATTCATGGTGCAAAGTTTAGCAAAGTTGCGTTTTTGCATCTCTTCCACAAACCTCCAGTCTGCCTTCCAGTGCCATGCTCGCAAGGAACATTCCGCATAGTCGCTGAGGAAGGGAGTGAAAACAGGAGTTGCAAAATTCTAAACTTCAAAGTTTATGCTCCACCAGGGCAACCTTCTGGTTTGAGGAGTGAACTCGCGATTTTATCCCAGGCTTTCTTGTAGTGTCTGCAATGGTTATTGCATTGGAACAGCCCCATGGAAGGAGTAAAATCGCGAGTTAATTCTTTTTTGCCCAAATTTATAAACCTTCCAGGCTAGCATCCTCGTGGAAGGACTTAAATCGCAAGTTAATTCTTTCTTACGACCTTCGTGAGGTTGGCAATAGAACATCTTCAGATTGGTAATAGAAATCCGGTCTGAACTGTGGCCTTGACCCTTAGTCCCGGCTTTCATCTATGGGGGCTGTGACTGAAAGGTAATTTCTCCCACGGTTTCATACTGTATGAACGAATCACATTACCCTGCAAATAGTTTCTTTTGGCTTGTAACACCCTGGGTGGACATGGATTGTCACGACAAGCTCTACATTCAGGACCATCGTGTTTGCGCATATGGCAGTGATCGACCGAAATTGACAAGGTTGTGCGCCAATTTCCTGGAGGTGTTTACAATCAACCTGCAGTGCCCTGGTATCCCTGCTCCTGACTCACGAGCTTTTGTGCGGACCACGCAACAAGTCTTGGAGAGGGTCGCTAAGCGACTGCGTCAAAGTGTTTGTCCATGGCACAAGTGATAATAATCTCTGGTCCCCAAGTGTCTGGATGAACTAAGTCATTGGGTTCAACAACCAAGATATATTTGTCTCTTTCTTCTGCGGAAGAATCTGTCAACACTTTGATCGGCCGGCGCAAGACATGCGCCAACGCTAGTAGCGTCAGAGAATCCTTGCTCCGGGAACTGCACAGGAACCTTTCCGAAACCTTGCAGAACCTTCCTGGGAACTGCACGGGAACCTGTCCGAAACCTACCGGAACCACCTACTGTGGGAGAATTAACTCTTGATTTCAGTCCTCCTGAAAGAAATGTTCAAACCGTCCTGAACCACCCTTCGAGCTGCCAGGAAAACCCACCGGAACCTTGCCGGGAACTGCACGGGAACCTGTCTGAAACCTACCGGAACCTTCCTGGGAACTGCACAGGAACCTTTCCAAAACCTAATAAACTATTCCCCACCCAAACTTCCCAGAACCTGCCGCGGACACTATGGGGGAATTAACTCTTGATTTAAGTCTTCCTGACAACCAAACAGTCAGAGCAATGCTACCGGCCAACGTCACTCCAAACATAGGATTTAACTCTTGATTTAAGTCTTCCTAGCAAGTCATCATCCAAAAAAGATTAACTCAAGAGTCCGAAGGAATGGGTACCAAGTTTTGAAAGTAACTATCCCAGGAGTAAACTCAGGAGTTAATCTTTTGGAACTCTTCTTTCTACTCCTTTTCATAGTCGCAAGCCACCTGGGGGTGAGACTTACCTAAATCGTGGATTGTGCACCTAAACTGTGCACTCCACTTTCTTCACATGTTCTGCAAAGCATGTTGGCTTTCCCAAACCAAGTCATTTCATACCAATTCCTACAGTAGTCAACCCAAATTGTTGAAAGGGTCGTCAGAACCCCGCATCTCTTCGCATCTCTTGGTTTCACGTACTTCGTACTTCGTAGTAGGGGCATCCCACTTCACACTGGAACGCAGCCAACATCTGGGCTTCTACGCCTTTGCCACAATGGCCCTTAATGGCCTACAATGTACAGGTTGGGCCATGGCTTCTGAATTCTTCAAGCCCTGTGAAAGCCTTGCACACGATCATAAAAGGTGTGCTTCGCCAGCGGCTTTCTAGGAATTCCGTGCACTTTTGAGATGATGACAGATTCGGATGCATCAGCTCTCAAGATGATCAAGGACTCTCGCATCTTCTGCGGGGGTCCCGACATCTGTGTCCTCCACAGTTTCCCGAAGCTCAACACAGCTGCTATGCCACGTGTGCCGCTATGCCAGTCCTCCACCTCGTGGATCTCACTTTCAGGTTCCAAAAGCTGAACTGAAGGGCCTGAGCGTTACAGAGGTGAAAGATGAAGCAAGTCGGTACCTGCTGAAGTGACAACGCCTCCTTCAAAATCTTCTGGAATGGTAAACGCTTCCTCGATCCTCGCGAGCGCCTCATGCGTAAAGTAAAGAAGCTGAGTGTCAAAAGGTACTAGGATCCAATCAGCGGGATCCCTATCTATCTTGTGGCAAACTGCTGGTTGCAACACCCCGATGAGCACAGTGACTCTGCAGTGTGACAACCAAGTCTATCAGAGACAAACACTGACACACTTCTGGCCTTTTGCATGATCTCATACCATGCCGGCGCTTCCTGTTGAGCTGTGACACGGCTGACCAATGGCCAATGAGCTAAGTCCAAGTGACCAAATGTGGATGGCTTCTATCGCCATAGCTACCCACATTTGCTTAATCCATTAATCCATGGGTAATCTATGTTAATCCATAAATATATTAATCAATGGATAATCCACATATCCATGGTTAATCCATGGGTAATCCATGGTTAATCACCATGGAAAATCTGACTCCACCATTTCTGTCAACTTCTAGATCCCCTTTGGGACGTCGCTCGCCGCTCGCCTCCAAGCGCAAGATCCTCCAGACGTCATCGGGCTCCCTTCCATGAGGACCTGGGCTTCTGGGCGCACCATTTGGTGAACATATCTTGAGGGGCCATGGTGAAGATGCTGAAGTCTTTCAGAGATCATGACCCACCTGTTTCTCAAAAAATGTGGGATCCATGGGGATACTTTTTTGGGATACCTCGCCCTGAGTGTCCCACCCAGCTTGATCAGCTGCTGCACCAACATCATGGCCTCGCCTGGAATGGCCCACAATGGGATGGAGTTGATTCTGGTTTAAGCCCCAAACAAATCAGCCAAAACAAAGTCTGCAAAACCAGTCCACTGGAAAACTTCGACAGAAGAGTTCTAGAGTCCTCGGTGAAACAAACTCAGCTCCCTACTGGGGTCTGCAGAGAATCCAGCTTCGCGGCACTGCGGGCAGGTTTCTCCAAGTGAAAGCTTTCAAGAAATCATGAGTCCGCGTTCGCATGGAAAATGGTGCCCGAAACCTGCATAATTATGGTGCCAGAAAGCTTTCAAAATGGTTAGATCTAGTGTCCCATATTTCATGAATAGTTTTTAATATTAAAAAAAACAGATCATCAGATCTAGTTTCTTTCCAAACTCAGGTCGGCACTGCGCAGCTGACCAGGAACCAGCCGCCAATGCTGGCGAAGAGCGACGTGGCTCGGCAGCCCTTACAGAAGACCTCCAGCGCTCCCAGTGAACACCGAAATGCTTGGGATTTATGGATGGTAATCCCCCCAAAAAAATGGTATAGTTGTCAAAAATTGATCTATAGCCACCTGCGAAACACCTAAACTCGGGTCAGTGAACTAAGTTTTCACTTCACCCCAAAGGCTTGTACATAGACACAAACAGACCTTGAAGGGGACGTCCAAGAGTAGCACCAAATATGGGTTTACCCAAACATGAGGTATACCCCAAAATTGCAAGTCGAATGGTGAAAAGAATGATAAGGCACCCCATTTTTGGAGACACCCAGATGTCGCATCAGGCGCTGAGATCTTTAAGCCACGCCTCCTCAAAGCGGTTCTCCCTGGCTGCTGCAAAGTTGCCATAGTCGATCTCGCTACCTGGGGCATAGCACCCTGTGGCCATGTTTGCTGTTGGTCATTCAATTAGAACAGCCGCCATGCAAAAACCAAGAATGGCTTCTTGGGCATGCCCATCCGTACCGAGGCACCCCAAAGAAAGATCCTCTGGCAGTGATTGCACTGTGTCTGGGGTTCCTGAGCTGTCAAGATGCACGCTCAGATGCATGCCAACCTTGCCCTTGGTTTGCTGGAAACAGTTGGGTAAGACTCAAAATCCATCCAAGCTTAGATGATCAGCTATCCATATGTTTTTGGCGTGACTCCAAGTCTGCTGTCCATCATGGATTGTGATACATACAACTTATATCAAGCGGTATGTAATGTGTGTATACATACATACGTACGTACGTACGTACGTACGTACATACCATACCATACCATACCATACCATACCATACCATACCATACCATACCATACCATACCATACCATACCATACCATACCATACCATACCATACCATACATACATACATACCATACATACCATACCATACCATAACATAAGATAACATTGCATTGCATTGCATTACATTACATTACCTATACCAACCTATACATACCTATGCATACCTATACATACCTATACATACATATACATACATATACATATACATAAATATACATAAGTAAACATAAATATACCTATATACATGTTTACATATACACATATATACATATATACATATATACATATATACATATATACATATATACATATATACATATATACATATATACATATATACATATATACATATATCATATATACATATATACATATATACATATATACATATATACATATATACATATATACATATATACATATATACATATATACATATATACATATGTACATATGTACATATATACATATATACATATATACATATATACATATATACATATATACATATATACATATATACATATATCCATATATACATATATACATATATACATATATACATATATACATATATACATATATACATATATACATATATACATATATACATATATACATATATACATATATACATATATACATATATACATATATACATATATACCTATATACCTATATACCTATATACATATATACCTATATACCTATATACATATATACATATATACATATATACATATATACATATATACATATATACATATATACATATATACATATATACATATATACATATATACAAATATACAAATATACAAATATACAAATATACATATATACATATATACATATATACATATATACATATATACATATATACATATATACATATAGACATATATACATATATACATATATACATATATACATATATACATATATACATATATATATATATACATACCAACCCCGGCCCGCGGTCCCACTGGAGGCCCTGGCTACAGGTTCCCACAGATCTGTGGAGAAAGGCACCTTTTCGATGACGAATTCTCTCTGCCTCAGCCCGCCATGGGAAACGGAGCAAAAATTGATGAGAAAAGAATTGGGGAACTTATATGATCACTATTGATCACTATCACTAAAAAGTATAGATGTTGATGCCGGCGGCCAAGATCTTGACCCAAACTTGAAGCCTTCCAGATTTTCTTGGTAAAATTGGGCTTTGATTCTTCAGCAGGAAGGCCGGCCCGAGCGTCTCACTCCTCCGACCAGCTCACCTGACGCATACAGTGCTTGGTCTGAAAATGGGACCCAAATCCACTGGTTAACACCCATTGTCAGACCCAAATCGTTAACCATCATATTTCCCATTGAATGGCCATAAAACGATGGTAAAACACCCATTGTCAGATCCATCACCAAAGCAGGTGATATAACCAGCCCCTGCAACCCATCATCGTCCAGCCTTGCGGGTCCTTCGCGCCGATCCCTGGAGCATTTTGAAGGGTTTGCACCCATTTCGGCTAAATTTGGGGATGATTATTGGATATACCACATCAAATATATGAATAAGCCCGTATAATAGCTTATAATTGATCTTGATTGACAATGATGGATTTTTCGGTTATTCTAAAAAGCTTCGGATTGACAAGCCCTAGTTTGGGGGGCTATCTTGATATCTTAAGCGTTGTAAACAATCGACCAATTCGGGTTTACTATGTGAGCTTACCAAATCTTCTGGTGGAAACCCCTGGTACTGTGGTTTTCACATGAGCTGGTGTATTGCTGGAGGTTCATGTTAATTCCGTCGGCCCATGTGTCCTACACTCCAGGCCTTGGACCGAAGCAGTGACTTCGTCGGCATCTTCGTATGGTGCGGAAGCAAACTGGCAGGATCCAGTTTGGAAAGGCGATGTGGATGGCGAAGAAAAACACGAAGGAGCACACGCTATCCGTCTTACCCGCTGAAAAATCATCAAAGTATAGATTGGATGTGAGAATTGATAGAAATCAGCATGCGCAATGTTGATTTACATCTATACTTTGGAACCCTGCAGTGTTGTTTGGCTCTCATCTTTATGTACTTCAGAACATCGTCGCATGTCTTGTCATCGTAGTCTTGCAGGACTCCATTGCTAATCTGATTGGTGATTGAGCTCACAACCAAAGAACTGTTTCAAAGCCAGCAGTGTCATCCCTACTTTGCCCGATGGACAACAAACATCTTTGGAACCACCACCAAGACATTGCTGTTCCACATGTGCATCAAGTGCTATGGCTAAATCATGGCTAAATCGCTGGCAGATATCACTGTTCATCCCCCTCATATGGGAAAATATGGGTTTTAACTAATTATACTAACCATCCCCGTCTCCGGGAGACGTTCCAAAATGTCACTAGCTTCACACATTTTACCGGATGATTCATCCTGTTCCACGCCTCGATGGTTCATCTGCAGCGAGATCTGGATCCGGCAAGGCCTCGCTACCTGAGCCGTTCCAGCCATGGTTGGTTTAACCCTGGTTTAAGCTGGCTGGATTGGTTCAAGAGAGTTGGAAACCGCCAAACCATGGATATGTTTTTTTTGGAAACCTTCGTTTTTTGTTTTCACCACCATTTTTAGGGTGTGTTGAACTGTGTCCTGTATTTTTCCTTCAAAGTGAAATGATGAGATCAGATTTGCCTGAACCATGCACGAATGCTAGGGGATATCAGTCAGCAGAAATATGTGTAACCCATGCAATCTAAACAAAAAGAAACGATAGGAATGAATAGGAGTATTCACTAACAAAAAGGGGATGGCTCATAAATGACAGATGAGATGGGGAAACCAAATCATAAGAATCATACAAATAAAAACACACAATACTGTTCAACAAGAAATCACTGGCACTTTCTATCATCCACTTGATAATCAATCCCCAAATGGCAGTATACAGCCGCAAATGAACGACCATCAGCCGGAGTTTTGGCCACTGCTGTTGCAGCATGTAGTGAGTTTGTCACCCTACGCATGACAAGCGAGAGGGAAGATGTTGCTTCATAAGATGTGCGAACATGTTCTCTACACCGTGGTGATCATGACATGTCAACGTGTAGAGCATCACGAGAATTTGAATAGTTGATTTACATGTAAAATCACCTCGAACCCCGAACGACCAAAAAAACAGAGGTGTGACGATTGATAGTTCGTTGCTTAGATCTTATACGGTGAAGACCGATGACATGGTTTTCCTTTGCCTCAACGGGCTCTGGGGTGCCACACATTCTAGGCCTGGCAAGTCTGCCACAGATTCAGTGCCCTTGCGATGACTGGGCCTGACTCGAAGCAACAAAAACTGGTACTGCAACAAGAGAGGGTCCCGAAACTATAATGATGATTCCAATTATATGAATGTGGTATAATATGGCCCCCAAAAAATCATCAATTCTGGTTCTATCCTGGCTCGCCAGAACATCAGCAGAAATCACTGTCGGATAAAATAGCCAGGAATGAGGCCTGCAACATCACCTGAAACAACCGAGTTTGATTACATCATCTACCTATCTTCCTAGCTACTTGGCTACCAAATCTACGCAGCTACCTGGCTACCTAGCTACCTATCTATCTACCTATCTATCTTCCTATCTCTCTACCTATCTATTTAACTATTAATCTATCAACCTATCAATCTATCAGTCTATCAATCTATCTTTCTATCAATCTATCAATCTATCTATCTATCTGTCTGTCTATCTATCTATCCATCTGTCTGTCTGTCTATCTATCTGTCTATCTATCTATCTATCCATCTATCTAATCTAATCTAATCTGATCTAATCTAATCTAATCTCATCTGATCTGATCTGATCTGATCTAATCTAATCTAATCTAATCTAATCTAATCTAATCTAATCTAATCTATCTATCTTATAGACATACATTTGTGGAAATTACAACAAAAAACGAGTGATTTACAACAAGGGCCTCCTCGCCGGCTTGGGACGTGCCCGCGCGCCAGGAAGAGGCTCAGGCTTCCCTGGCCAAGAGCACCGGAATGATCAAGATCCTAACATGACGGTCATAGATCTTAAAATCAAATGAATATCATTATCAAAATATGTATATTAGAATATATATATATATATATCCATATATACATATATACATATGTGTATATATATATATATATCAGAAAGGCTATGTATATGTACATGTACATGTATGTGTGTATATATATATAATAATTATATATTATAAATATATCAAGATATATATATATACATATACATGCCATGTCTTTTTGAATGTCTGTGTTTACAGGTGTGCTAGTTGCCTTTTCCTGTCGTTCCAGCTATGCTTGGGGTTGCTTACAACTCAAAAAAACACGCGCCCTAATGCCAACTGCTCGCCCTTGTTTAGCCACTGAAATCCTGCTTTCTGGTCGAAGCACCTTGGATGAGAAGAACTTCTCCGCGGGGAGCCTCTGCCAGGAGTTCACTTGCAGAGATTGACAGCCAAAAAATTGACAGAAACAACAGCAACCCTGATGCAGATGCCAAGGTGTCAGACCTTGCAGATGTTGCCGCAGTTTTTTTTCATTCCCTGTCAGCGGTGCTATTCATTCCGCAAGTCGCCCTCCTTTTTGCGCCACGTGGAGCACGTCGACCTTGCCTAGCAAATCAGCAGAAGTGAAGTCAAGATCTGTGACAGTTGCAACAAAAAGGTAGAAAAACAAATCCGTTGAATTCATGTAGGTATAGGCAGAAATTGAGAGTATATACTTTTTTTGTCGCTGCCGGTTGGACAAAAAATGTATATTATGGAAATTGGGTAAGTTCCAAATTTCACAAACTGGGTGCATCCATCCAACCGTCTTTTCCGCGCCTTGGACCCACTCCCCATGGAAGGAATAGGGCAAATGAGTCGGCAAATGCACCTGCAAATTCTGCAAGCTTCAGAAAAAACAGCGGAATTTAAGAATGTCATTTCTGATTTACTACTCTTTACCCACATTGTTTTCCCGCCTTCGCAACAGGTCCAGCTGACAGGTGCGCAGCATCGAAAAAGGCGAAAAACCTCTGCACCAAACCCTCCAAGTGGTTCAATCACTCAGAACCACTGGAATCATTTTTTCCCAACATTCATTAAATTGATCATATACTATCAAAGATGATTGAGCCATTTCATTTAGGAGGTCGGTTTTGAGCCAGACTTCGCCGTCTTTTCAATGAAACCATGAAATGTCATTTCATTTCTGGCTTTGAGTCTAAATGTTTGAGCCTGGAACCATGGCCATTTATGCCCAAGGTTCCTGAAGGATACAGCTATATGCATCCAGGAGTTCCAGTCATGTTCCATGATGTTCCCCCTCCGAGGATCTCCGAGCCCCTGACGATTTGTTGCTGTTCGCATCGTATACGCAGGTGCAAACATACCTTAGGCGAATCTCAACCCTGAGACTGGGACCGCTGGGACCGGCTGTTTTCTGTGACAAGGCCGGAATGGATTTGGGAATGGGAAAGGTCATCTAAGAGGCTGAGAAGTACACATCTCTTAAACTCGGGATTTTAAGCTCCTGAATGCGGGTATGATGAAAAATCCCATGCTGAGCAGTTTGAAGCTCATGCATTTGAAGCAGGATGGAGGAAGAACGGAACCTCTTTTCAACGACGTAGGAGTGAATGAAAATCTTGTTCACTTCTAGAAACTGATCTCAATCATATCTACACATGCTGAGAGCAAGTTACTCAGTTACTTCCACTTCAATGCTTTTTTTTTAGCTGCTAGAAATTTCCATCCAAGCATCGCTGAAAGCTCATCTTTCGCTGACTCTTTCGGGATCACCATCCTGGATTCTGCAGCACCAGCCACGGATCCCCTCCGGATCCCATGGGTTTATCAATGGCTTATCCATATCCGTGGAGGATCATCCCACGGAGAAGTTTGTGATTCGTGGATTATCCCATTTATAAAATTTATAAATGGGTTATAACTGTTATAACATGTTATAACTAACCCCAGTTTAAAAAAAAAAAAGGCGTAGCTCCAATCTCTGTTCCTCAATTGATGACCATCCTCCAAGATTGACCATTTAGAAAAAAGTTTTCACCATGGAGCTGTATGTTTATTGAAGAATGAAGCCATGGAAGCTCTCTGTGACTCTGCCCCACCATTCTTGGCTGCACAACCCGGCATTGGTGGGTACAGATTGGTACAGTAATATACCAACATCTGGTGACTGGTGTTTTGGTTTTGCATGCAATGAAGGATCGCTACCAACATTAATGGAACTATATGGAACTTAACTACCCACGTTGGGTGCTGTCTAAGACTCCATATTCAAGTACCCATGGGAGATGTTTGTCTGAGCTGGTTCAAATTCCAAGAATTACCTCATTTTAACCCACCATCCATTGCGTATCTAATGGTCGATATCCCAGTGGTGGTGATACAGCACAATCACGTATTATCTATGTTGAATCCCTTTCTCCCCATCCATGTCTCCCCATTTTTGTGACCCAAAAAAGCTCAAAACATGTCTGGTGGTTCATCAGCCAAGCATCGGCTCCCCCGCGAATTGACCTTCCTCAAAGACCGCCCGGTCGACCAGGTTCTTCTGCAGGTCCAGCCGTTCCACCGTATTGGCGAAACCCTGCCGATTGCCGGGAGCTGAGGATGTCAAGAATCACCATCTTTGTGGTTGTTGAATTGGCAAAGGTGGTTGCTGAATCGATGGGATCTTTGTGCCACTCTGGACTGGGTGCCCCCCGTTGCCAGAATTTTTCAAGGGCTCAGTTGGCAATTCGATATGATTACAACGGGGAAAATAGTCAGTTGAAGACTGATGCAAGCCAAGTGGCTGCTGTCGATGGGTAGGCAGAATTGGTAAACACGTGTCGATGCGTTCCTGAGGTCCATCTTGCACCCAGGGCTTGGCAGCAAACTAAGAGCTGAGAAGTTGCAAGAAAAAATGCTATCTGTACCATACTGATGGTTGGTCGTTCGGGATGGTACCATCTACCCTATTCATCCCTATTCCATCGACTTGGAGGATTCATGACAATGGATGATTTAAATCACGACCATAAGCAACCAGCATCTGCATTTAAATGAATACCTTGAGACGGTGTAGTAGCCCATGTTTCGCTAACCACTAAGCACAAGATAGACTTGGTGATGTCAATCAATGTCTATCACAGCTTAAAATTGCGGAAGAATCCAAACAGCAAGTGGAAGTTTGGCAGTTAAATGCAGCAGCCAATGCTGCCCAGCAGCTTCCAATGAAGGCCGGATGAATCGTCGGAAGCTCAAACGAAGCAGCGTCCGAGGGACCCACTGAGCCTGTCACCCGCAGGTAAATGGCTTTGTCGAAAATTATATAGTTACCCCGCAAAAGAAAAGGCTGTTTGAATCGGTAATATGGATATGATGATCAACCACAGATTTTGGTGTACCCCATTTTCAGACACACCCAAATGCTTGCAAACGATGCCACCACATGAAGCCACGCTAAGGACACGCTAAGGACCCCCCGTAGCTCCCTCAGATCTGAGCTCCCTACGGATGCTGATTCGACCCAAAGAGATGTCCAGAGTCATTTCCTTCAGGCTGCAACGAGTTTCATCTGTCCAGTTGCTGCGGTACATGTCCTCGGCGGAAACTCATGTCACACGCGACCCATAGCATCCTTTGGTGCAAGCAGAGGGGTTTGGTCTGCCACACTTTACCTTTTCTTTTGGCTGTTCCAGGTGGAATCCCGCTCGGTAAATTGCGACACTGCAAAGATTTCTCCCAGAAGACTTCTACTTCTAAGTACCTCACATCCTTGTCATCCTTCGGCAACCTGGCATAATCACCCAGCGGGAATATCCATAGGCAGGGCCTCAGGACCGAGGCCCTTGCTGACGACAAGTTTCTCTGAAGTTTTTCTCAACATGTTCTCGTGGTCCAATGTGAGCTGCAATCTGGAGTTTGACTGTGTCGTCTTCTTCAAAAGCATTGACCTCACAAGAAAACACAACCCAGAAATTCCCACAAAGATCGGTTTTCGATGGGTTTGGGATGGCTTGGAAACTGATTTCTGTAGTGGATGTCATTATTTGACTCCCTGTGACGGAGTTGAGAATCCAACTGTTGACCCGGCTATGAGGATGACCATCATAGAATTTGATGGAAATATATGGAAATAAAGGGCATTTAGCATCAGCCACATATAACCCTCAAAAATTACTGGTGTTCAAACGACTCGTTTGGAGTAAGCCCAGCGGGTCAAACGACAACGATGTGGGGATCATAACCCTGGCAGTTTGTTGGGCCACCAGGATCATCTGAGTCTTCGGCAGTGTGATACAAGGAGACTGGTGGCATCAGTGTCTCGTCAAATACCTTGCTTGCTCCGGGTCAATGTTCAACAGCAAACCTGGGATCTAATTCCTTAGTTTTCATTCATGTCAATTCGGGAATTCATCTCACCTCATCTTCATTCATGTTATGTCTTCCTTAAAGGAGCAAGATGTTCCCAAACATGGCTGAAGCAATAGGTGCAAAGATCATCAAAGAAAAAAAATCGTATTATCGCAGCTGGGAACAAGTGCCCTCTAGGTTGGCTAAGGTCATGTGCCAAGGGACAGTGCTCAGGTCACTTCGCTTCAACAGGACGCATCTGGTACCCAACTCCTCTTGCCATCCAAATTTCTGCCCCAGACCACCTTCCCAAAGACTTTGGAGAAGGCCATCTACTGGGCACACCCAAGGGGGCATGATGAGCACGATGTACTTCTCCGTGATGGCAAAGTCATGAACGAAGGTGAATTCCTTCAACGGCACTTTGGCGCGCTGAAGCAACTCGCCCGTCGCGGAGCAACAGTAAACCTCAATGGCTTGAGGTACACTGATGGTCAGCCCGATGTTGAAGAGTTCCCCCGTGGTGGGGTCCCGCTTGGGATGAGCCGAGAAGAAGGAAACGCCACTCTCCGAGATGCTCCGATCCTTGAAGAGATCCTCCCCCAGGGTTTCCAAGGTACCAGGGTCCAGGCGGTAGGGAAGGCCACCTTCACAAAGTGCCAGCAAACGATCTCCCCACCACAGCACGCTGGTGTTGGCAGGGTTGGTTGCTAACCTGAAGACATTGGAGGAAAAGTCACCGTTGTCAGCAGGTGTCCAAGCACCAACAGAAGCCATGCCTAAGCCTTCCTGGGCCCTGGCAAACGCACCAGGCTTTTCCTGTGCCACAAATCGAGGCGTCCGAACGAAGCGCGAAGCAAATGCGGCCTTTTGCTGTACTCCATCCACCGAAAGAGCGGAAACAAAGCCATCCCCATCAAACCAATGTTCATACTCTGAGGCTCCAATCCGCAACCGGCCAGCAGAATTTCGGTAGATCGTTCCCACCAAATCTGATGGAATCTCACCTTCAATCGCCTCCAGCATCACGGGATGTGTCTCTGGAGCCGCCTCGAAGCCCCGCCTCCAGGGATCGGCAACCAGAGACTCCTCGATGGGCAAAGCGCGGGGGTTTCGAAGTCGACGTCTCTGTCTGAAAAACACCGAGGCAGAAACCAAGGCCCAGGACAGTCGTCCAGAACTCTGCAGTCGATGTTGATCCATTCGTCGTTCTGTTGGGTAACGGTGCCCCAGCGTGTATGGGGCGCGGCGAAAAAGCGCGCGTGTCTCTAGTAACTCCATGGCGATTGTTGAAACTCCAGAGAAAAATTCAATGGGATTTGTGCTGTGAATCACCATCTCTCGTGGGTTGTGCACGTCAAAATATGTCAACTGCAAGTCTAGTGTCCACACAAGAAACGTTTCATCTTCTACTTAGGGACCAGATGTTTCGCTGACTCTCTCCTGGCTTCAACCATGGACCCCAAACAAGAGCTTGAGCTCAAAAACCGTCAAGTGCATCTTCATATATATTCATAAAGAAAACTTGCAAGTTACATATATCTTCATATATCTTCATATATCTTCATATATCTTCCAACACTTCATAAAGCAACAACAATGTTGGACTCTGACACTTGAAAAAACTGACGTGACTGAAAAGCCCACCTTGCTGCCCTGGCTCTCTGGAACGATGTGGAATCTCGGAGAAATTCACAGGCATCAGAAATAGTATAATTGTCGTTGTTTGCAATTGAACTGCTGTTGGTTATGGCAATTTATATCCATTATATAATTATATTACATATATATATATACATATATGTATGTATGTATATATATATATGTGTTTTCTATGTATATCATAAAAGTATTATATACATATATATATATATGTGTGTATGTATGTATGTATGTATGTATGTATGTATGTACGTATGTATGTATGTATGTATGTATGTATGTATGTAGGTATGTATGTATGTATGTATGTATGTATGTATGTATGTATGTATGTATGTATGTATGTATGTATGTATGTATGTATGTATGTATGTATGTATGTATGTATGTATGTATGTATGTATGTATGTATGTATATACCCACATATCCATTGGTGATAAATCTATCCCAACTGCTTTATACCTCAAGGCTCACTTCGACTAAGACCCTGGCCCCGTAACCCGTGGAGTGGCAGATCCAGGTTCACGACTGTAGATGGCTTTCTCACCCCGCCAAGATGCAAGGACCTCAGACGGACGATTTTCAAAACACCCCGTGTCACTGCATGAGTTTGATGAGTTTTACGTAGTATACATAGGAAACCACATTACATATTCATAGTATGAGTTTGATGAGTTCCGATCTTTCATACTATGAGTTTGATACAATAAGGAAAGATCGGAAACCATGGCCGTTCTCCCCATTTTACACCACGCAAAAATGAAGGTCGGACAGGATTGGCAACCAAATGATCGGAAGGCTGCTCAATGAATTGGGCGGTGGCGTGGACATGCGAAGTGTTTCTTTCTCAAGTGTACTATGGTGCGGATGACTTGAGGTGTCCGCCATTCTGAGTTATTCATGTTCTAATTCATGATAAGTAAGTCATAGTAAAATCCCAACCCTGATATTTAAGGACATCAAATGGATACTTTCCCAAGATAAGCCATCATACATGGCCCACTTGGTTGTTGAAGGTTGAGTTTATCAAGTCCCAAATTGAGGCACCGAAAAATCTCGCATAACCCCATGAAAATCATGAAAATGAATATGTTGGGGTGATGATGATGATGATGATGATGATGATGATGATGATGATGATGATGATGATGATGATGGTTATCAATGGCTATATAATGGCTATATAATGGTTATTAATGGCTATTAATGATTATTAATGATTATTGATGATGATGATGATGATGATGAAGATGAACCTGTTCCCAGCTGAGAATCTCGCAGGACAGCGGGCGCGCTGCGGCCGTCCATTCCCCTGACCTGCAGTGCCAGATCCCACATCTGAAGAATCTTTGGCTGCGAAAAATTGGATGCCTCAGTAGCTAAAGAATGGTCAAAATAGCATATAGGTACTTTATGGTCCTTTATAGTCCTTTATTGTCCTTTGATATTAGAATTTGCAGCCATACTCAAATCATCTCAAATCTGTATCCAAATAACCTCCTGACATTGCAGCAAATCGCAGTGTCAGTGACGCCCCACCTTCACTGACGAAGTCATCCACCGCCACCACAGCAGCGCTAGGAGCCTTGTTTGAGCAATGGCCAGACTCTGTTTCTCCATATCGTTGGCTGGAAACTGTTTTTTTCCCATGAAATATAGGGGCTCCTGCAAAAAAGAAAAACCTTCATCCGATTGTCAGACCATAGGGATTTCAACTACCCCAAATACCTGGATGTATAGTCGCACATGCCAAATGAGGCACCGATCATCAGTTGACCCATGCGTAGGCCCTCAGATCCCTACCGGAATCGTCTTGGTCGTCGTCTTCCTGGGCTTTTTGCCTCGGGATCTTTGGGCACAAAAGTCCCACCACTGCTTGGATCGGCGTGTACAAAGGGGGCTGAATTTGGGGCTAGCTAGCTTGTTTGAGAAAAGTTGAAACGGCAATGTTGAGGTACTGCACAGCTGGAAAACAGGGTGACCATCGGTTTAGTCATGGTTCCTGGAGGACCATTCCACTCCGGCAACAAATGATGAAGCTAGCTTTGCCTGTGACTGGTATTGAAGCAATGCATGTCAGATTCTGAGTCGACTACTCAGTTCCTGCAGCGCTCCGGCTGCTGTCTTTCTCTTCTTCTCAACTTGGCAGTTTTCCTCTGCCTCTGCTGGTGGCTCCTGCCATGGCGCATGTATCGTGGTGCAAAAAGAAAAGAGACGTCTTCATCTTCCAGAAATTTCCAGAATTCACCTTGACATGTCCGAGATATCCGAAACTTAACATCCACAAATCCACATCTTGATTCGTGTCCTTGCGCTTTGCAACTTTTTCACCTCACCACACCGGCGCAACCGGGACACCACGGCCAAAACGCGCTGTTTTTGAATCCAGGGCCTGCAGGCTTCCTCGCTCTGCGCGACTTGCTGGAGGTTGGCCTGGCGGGCTGGGTGGCGAAAACCCTCATCCAATGGCAGTTGGATGTCCCTGTGTGTTTACCCTCTGGCAATTAAAATGGTTTGCTATGGAAAATCACGCTTTAAAAATGATAAATAATATATATATATATACCATATGTGTATATATATATACACATTATAATATATATATATATTGTAAATCATTGAACTGAATGGGCCATTTTGCATGGTGAAAATGATGGAGAATCATGTGCAAAGAGGCAAAACATGGACCCATGTTTGGTGTCATGGCTGCAAGTCGGAAGAGTCAGCCCAGCTGGGCAGCCTATAACAGTAAAAGATCGATATTTGATAAATTCAACTCTCAATGGATCTCAATGGTATATGATGGTATATAACGGTATATTATGGTATATTATAGTATATTTGTATAATCTTGTGTAGCACACAACTCGCCTTTTACCGCCAACTGTTGTAGAATCCTGCCTGTCCTCTGGAGAATCGGGTGATTCTTCCACTTCCTCCCTGGCAGGAGCGCTTTCCTCCGCCGGGATCTTGCTGGTGCGTGGTTGGTCAATGCCTGGCCAGTGAAGAAAGAGCTTCCGTACATGTCAGTGTTTCAGTAGCACAATGCTGAACAAATGGTAGCAAAGCAGCATAGCGACCATAGCCCGATCTCTTCAACGAAGATTTGTGGCAACACAGCATCACTCGCATCACTCGCAAAGATTTTCCGAGGCCTGAGGCATTTCTGCTCTGCTCAATGAACTTGTGGAACAATCCACTGCCACGACTGCGGCATGGAGTGGGTGAGTAGATCGGTGGAGCTTTCGCCTGTCACAGCTACACAGCTGCATCTTTCGGAGTCAAGAGAAGTATTTCAGGGCACTGCACCTGGTGACTGGGCGGCTCTTTGCCCATCAGGCCTCTCGAGATGCAGCAAGATCTTTCAAAGGGGTTGCAACATGTTGGGTCTACCGGGGGGGTTTGCCCGGAATTTTAACATGTGGGGTGGGGTGGGGTGGGGTGGGGTGGGGTGGGGTGTGTCAACGTTGGTGTTCATGTGTACACATGGTACGCTGCTGGTGTGTTGATGTGTACACATGGTACGTGGGGGGGGGGGGGGTGGGGTGGGGTGTGTCAACGTTGGTGTTCATGTGTACACATGGTACGCTGCTGGTGTGTTGATGTGTACACATGGTACGCTGCTGGTGTGTTGATGTGTACACATGGTACGCTGCTGGTGTGTTCATGTGTACACATGGTGCGCTGCTGGTGTGTTGATGTGTACACATGGTACGTGGGGTGGGGTGGGGTGTGTCAACGTTGGTGTTCATGTGTACACATGGTACGCTGCTGGTGTGTTGATGTGTACACATGGTACGCTGCTGTGTGTTGATGTGTACACATGGTGCGCTGCTGGTGTGTTCATGTGTACACATGGTGCGCTGCTGGTGTGTTGATGTGTACACATGGTACGTGGGGTGGGGTGGGGTGTGTCAACGTTGGTGTTCATGTGTACACATGGTACGCTGCTGGTGTGTTGATGTGTACACATGGTACGCTGCTGGTGTGTTGATGTGTACACATGGTACGCTGCTGGTGTGTTCACGTGTACACATGGTGCGCTGCTGGTGTGTTCATGTGTACACATGGTACGCTGCTGGTGTGTTCATGTGTGCACATGGTACGCTGCTGGTGTGTCATGTGCAAACGTATCACGCAATCGCAGTGTCATGTTTGATTGTCCATCGTTTCCTCATCTTGATTGGGTTCAATGTATTTCTTCTTGCCATGTGTCTCCTTTCTGTCTGACTCTTTCTGTTTACTTCTGGTGTATGTGATATATATATATATATATGTATGTATACTTCATGTCTGTCTATATATGTATGCAAATCGTGTCAAATGGAAACGCTGTAAATTACAGGTGATTGTTGATTTTTCCGCCAGATTTGGCGAAAAAAACTCAAGTTTGGACATTGTCAAAACATTCAATGATCAATTGCATCTGAAAAAAAAGATATGAAGTCTACTTGTGAACAACCACATTTTATATGAAAAAAACACAGTAAGATCAACACCATGACTACAAGAACAACAAACGGCTGCGGATACTCATCACATGTAGTCACAGTCGACCTTGTTCCAAGCCGGGCAAACCCCCCCGGCGGAGCCAACATGTTGCAAACATGTTGCAAACATGATCCACTGGTCCACTGGTTGGAGCTTTCTGCCAGAAAAGATCAGAAGTTGGAGAAAATCATCACAGTTCATTGCTGAAACAAGCATGCCAAAATGATGGAGTGTGCACCATGACCACACCTCGTGCAACTTCTTGTAGATACTATGGGACGGCCGTGGCTTGTGTTGGCCGTTCTTGGAGCCCCACTGCGGCGAATCTGATTGGTTGAAGAGTTGTAGGAGATGCCCCTTGGTAATATCTCTTGGTTTGGGTGAGATTTGAGGTACCGTCTGGCAATCAAACATGGCAATAGAACTTCCCCAACAGTGGGTGAATTTCCCCTTTAAATGCCCATTTAGTTCGGGGATTTCCCAGGCAGCCATGTCTGGCCGCAGGGTATGTTGAGCCAATGACCTCACTTTCCAGACTGCCAGGAACTTCGCTGCCACACCTTTTCTTGGTCCTTATGGCTCCGACCATCTTTGGGCGAAGCGAAAGGCTGCCATCACAAGAAGCCTCGGCCTGGGAAAGTCACTGGCATGTTTTGCCGACCGACTAAAAATTGTCAGGGAAAAACACCAGCACTCCCGCAACATGGACACGGAATGAAGGAGATTCTCCCTTGTCTTCGGTCATGGTAGGTCTAGAGTCACACAAGTCTCCCACAGCGCTGTTTGCGGCGCGCAATGCAACGGTGCAAGCGCTCTTGCGAGCCTGACCACAAGAACCATGGCAGTATCCCAGCAAACTTGAGCTGTTTCAGTCGTGAACTCAGCAGCACCTGCCAAGATTGCGAGGCTTCCAGGAATCCGATCCTGGCAGAACGGGTGAAGCATCCTCAGCTGGAAAGATCAAACGCTGCTTGGTGGTTTCAGCCCATTCATTCTTGGGGATAATGATCCCAGGTGTGGTTGAAAATGATCCCCAAGTTCCACCAAAATAATCCCAACCTCAAGCTGTCTCTCAGCAGCACTGAAGTTCTCTGGGAGGTGATCCTGGCACATCCACAGCTTTGGTCAAAAAGTCTGCCACCAATTTGGCGGGTTGACCTCAGACTTGGTGAAGTCACAAAATGGTCCCCTCATTCCCCGAGTTTGATGCTTAAATCCCCAAAAACTTCTGCTGGTTAAATTCGGGTCTTTTCCCTGTTTTGCCCACCAAGCCCTTCCTCTAGAGCTCGAACCCCGTGGCAAAGTACGCGATCCTTCAGCCAATGTTGATCCACCATTCAGATCCATTCAGATATAGTCATAGTAACCTCATGTAACCTCTTTAGAAAGATAGAACAATTAACAATATCTTTATCTTTTATCTATTATCATCTATTATCTATGTATGTAATCATTTATTTATTAGTTCATTTATTTAGTAGGATCAGATTTGAATCTTTTTTTGGGGGTGCTATATCGGAGATTGATTTGTGTTTACCCCATATGGCGGAAATGAAGAGGATCAAAGAATCAAGGGCTTGAGCGAATTTAATATGATTTTACCAACGTATAGGGTATATAAGCAACCATCTTGTCGTAGGGATATATTGATATAGCTTATACAATATGACCAGACAATTATACTGTACATAATTATAGCATATTATAGCTTATTGTAGGTGATTATACACAATTGGGATACAATATGATACAATGAGATTGATATATCAGCAACAAGAATCGTGTGGGTTAGTCCAGAAATGTGGGAAAATTACGCTGAAACAACCATGACAACCATGGAAGTGGAGATCCCTCATGTTCCAACGATGGAGGCAGGAACTGAGTTTCGTGCAAAGTTTCCGACGCACTCGAAGTGAGACGTGCATCCTGGCTGTCACGAGGCGGCAGTGGAGAAGCCCAAGGACAACGGGTGGACAACGGGTGGAGACCGAGTGCGTGGTGAACAGTCAGGCTAGCATATGACACCATCACAAGCACTAGCCGCAAGAGCTTCGCATCCCAGTGACAGCAGCGCTCCTGGATGTCCCGGTCTGATTTCATCAAAGTCAAACGCAAGCCTTGGCGGTAGTAACCGGTAGTAGAGTGTGGATGTCCTCTGAAATCATCCCAAGTCAAAAGAAGTGCTGCCACGAAAGCAACATGCTTCGGCCTGAAAACCAAAACAACCAGGAATCCATGGTCCATGGTGGTTTTCCTTCCTGGGATCCCAAACAACCGAAAATCAATCTGCAAAAAAATCTTCTGAAACGATAAAAGCTACCTTCGGTTGTTTGAGCTTCCAAGGACCTTCCTACTGAGGCGTTGACCCTGGCTTCAGCAAATCGTTGGGGCACTGCCCGTGGCAGGTGCTCCAACAGGAGTCTCCGTTGCCCACCGTTGCAGGCTCCAGATCCTACCGCCGCAAAAGACCATAAAAGACCCATCCCCACATCAGGATCAACAGCCGGAAACGCGAATCTGAATCGGAGTCCTCACATAATGGAAGCTCTTCTGCATACTTGGTCAGATCATAGCCCTTGGTCTCCTTGGGCACTGAAACTGGCTGAAACCCGGCGAAATCAGCCGCAGCATCGCTGAACTCAGCAGCTGTCCTTCACCCAGAAGTCATCTACTGGCTCCTGCAGGCCAGACTGAAAGAAATGACATTGATACTTTCAAAATGTTACTCTTAACCCAAGGTTAATGAAACCAAGGCTAATTTATGGTAAGAAACGGTCGAAAAATAGACAGTTCATAGGACCATCCCCCCGAGCTCAAGTAGGAACCCAAAACCAACGAAGGCTGAAACCAACCAGAAATATGTCGCCTGTCAGTGAAATCACCCGAGTTTTCTCGCACCAGAAAATATCTGAAAATATGATATTTCTTTCCCTGGGCTGAAGCATCACCAACCAGTCATTTCATGTCATTGGTGTTTTGTTATGTTTTGTTATGTTTTGTTATGTTTTGTTATGTTTTGTTATGTTTTGTTTGGGTCCTCACGATGCACATCAAGCTGATCCGTGTCTTCGTTGAAGGCGGTTGGCACCAGGACTTAGTCGCAGCGGTACCGGGTCGGTTGGCAAAAAATGTTGGGATTTCTCGTCGGCCTGTGACCTCCACTGTCGTCGGTTTCCCATGATTTCGGGATGCAAAGTGATGTGTTTCGGCGACTAAGGACGGTACCGTGCAGAGAGTTGCTCAGAATACCAAGTGAAGGCATTGATCCACAACAGGAGCTGCTCTGTGAAGCATGGCGATTTCTTGGTTTTGCTACTGTAAAGACACATGTCTTAAGCTAGCAAATCTGCTGCATGGCTTATGTGTGTGTCAGGAAATTGTTCATCCACGTGGCACTTGCTGAAAGCTGCCTTGAGACAAGAGATGGATTTCAGGTGTGTCTAGGATTTCGAAAACGAAAAGGTGTGAAACCAGCACGAAAATTGTCAAACGGATGTGGCAAAAGAAAGTCTGGTCCATTGTACCGTTGCCCGAGGCCACTCGTCCAGCCCTCCGATGTGAAGTTCCAAATGCACAGCGAAGCTGCGAGACAAATGAGCGCCAACACTTTTCATCACGCACAACCAACATGCAACTCTGCTGGTCAATGTGTGCATCTACACCATGTCTCGCAACTTGTCTTTAAGTCGCCAGTCCAGAAGGTTTCAGAAACAAACCTGGTGGTTTCAACCCGGAAAATGATGGATCAAGTGGGATCATCGTCTGAAATAAAAACAAACAGCAGCCAGAAACCCATGGATGGCTTCAGATCATGATCAGATGCACACCGTCCAGCTGGACATTATCAGCTTGGCATGTCCAAGCTCTCATTTGCTTTCACTGTGAATCAACATGGCACCTTTCACAAAAAAGATCGCATGTGAGAGCTAGACTTGAAGACCCTGAACAGCCCCATTTCACAATAGATGTTGGCCAAGTGATAGTAGCATGCTATCAGGAGGACTTCGAATCTTAAACCATGCTCTCATTTCAAGCTCGAAGTGTTTCTTGTGGTTTGTACCGAGAACGGATACCATGGCACCTGAGGCGGGTACAATATGTTTCACTTGGATGACTTGAGGATGGCCTTTCTTGCTCAATCCAATTCTGAAAACCACCTGGGCGCCCAGTTCAAACTGGATCATCGCTGATTGCACATCTCACCGAATTCAACTTCCAAGCTCCTGACACTATCCTGAACCTGTGGCGCAGGCACAGCTAGGGAAAGGGGAAAGGGGAAACAGCTTCTCCGCTCCTTTTTTTGTCGCCGACACAGCTAGAAACCCGCACCTTGGTTCCTTCTGGAATCATTTCCTGGCAACGAACTGCCGCCTATATATATATATATACTTCCCGCATCAACAAACGTGGCATCAACGAACTGTGGCATCTGATCATGGGATCGGATCATCATTTTTGGATCACGCAGAGTCTGGATTCATCCAAACATCAGAGTTGAGGTTTCTGTCAACACAACCCAGGGTACAAATTGTGCCTGTGGCAGGTAGGTGTCACGACCATACATCCTTGCGACGAGGATTTTTGGCATTTTTGGAAGATATGCACATGGTCTGTGCAAAGAACTTGCCCGAATCCAGACAACTAAAAGAAACACAAGAAAAATATAGAAAAAAATAATGCAAAATGATCAATAGACTGGATTTATCAGATAATCATCAGAATAATCAAAAAAAATGGATTCAATGGATAGCAGCTCCTGTGCACTTCGTCACAGGCGATAAATCCATAACCGTGCCGATCACTCAACGACTTGATCGAGCCACTGAAGTCCTGACAGATCCAAGATGATCCAAGCAACTCGTTGGGTATCATTGGACATCAGACCAATAAGCCAAAGCTGGTGAATGTTGAACCAATGTTGATTGGATATGAGAGAATGATGTTGGAATGCGAGAAAAACACAAGAAACATGATCAGGCCATTACCAAATCATGAAATTAGATCTTCAAAAATAGGTTTCTGTACTAAAACCCCATAGTTTATCCTCATGTTCCCTCTCAAAATATCTAATTGATGTTAGTTGAGTATAGATCCATTGTTTCTATCTCCATTAAATCCCGTTGCATCCCTATTAATGAGGGCCAATCATGGTTAATCAATGGTTGGTTCAATCCCATGTAATCCTATTCATAACCCTTCTGGTCAATCCCATTGTATCCTTATTTTGGGTCATTAAATCCCAGCACATCCACGTAAATATTCTCGTAAAATCCCTGACTTGTTGATGCTTGATCAATGGTTCAATCCCAGCAAATCCCATAATCCTTAAGTCCATATCTTTTAAGGCATATATGCGTATATAATCGTACTTGTCACCCCTATCATGTATCCCTTTAGGGAGGTTATCCATGGTTATCCCACAATATATTGCAAATCCCTATTCACAGCTCTGGCCGCATTTTAACAATTCACCAATCTGAAAATAGCTAAATAAAGCGGTTTGTGGACAATTCCCTGTACTAACCATCATTCCAGCGATGTCATAGTGAAGTCATTTAATTCATCCATATGTGTATATATATATATACACAGAGAGAGAGAGAGATACACATATATTGGTCTTCATTCATACATAATTCTGTATATATATAATCATTTTTTGTACATATAACATCATGACAGCTGAAAGTGTACAACGTGATCCTGATTGACAATGAATGATAACAAATAATCACAAATGATAACGAATGATAATGAATGATAATGAATGATACTGGTCATCATGGTAGTCATAATGACTGACAAATATGGGTATGGGTCAATACCGCCTATAAGTACCATTTTTAGTGGGATGAACATCCATAAATCCCAGCTATTTTGATGTGAACTACAGGGGTACTATTGGTTTTGACCCATCCCCATATGGGTGTGTCTGAAAATAGTGTACCCCTAAACCCAATGGTTAATGATCATTATCCCTATTAAATGGCTATAATTGGGAATATACCCTATTTTCAGACAAACCCATATACGATAATCCCAACACAAGTCGCATGTCAAACATCGCCTTGCCGGGTGGAGGCACCGCAGGCACCGCAGCTTCCACCGCCTTGGCCTTCGAGGCCTTGGGCGCTTGGCCTCGCTAAAAACAGAAGTTGGTTCTGAAAATGGAGCGAGCTGCACATTTGTTGCAACAAATATGGCCCCTATCATGGAAAATCACCATTTTTAATGGGTAAATCCACTATAAACCATGGCTGGATGGTTTACCCTCTGGTAATTTAACATAGCTATTGAAAAATTAATGGTTAATAATGGTGGTTAATAATGGTGGTTAATAATGATGGTTATCAGACACAATTACCCTCTGGTAAACTAACATAGCTATGGAAAATGACCATTTATAGTGGATTTTCCCATTGAAAATGGTGGATCTTTCCATATCTATGTTAGTTTACCAGAGGGTATGGCCCCTATCATGGAAAATGAGGTGTTCAACCATGAGATGGAAGTTCCATGACAACCTCAGCTGTGGCCCGGGTCCACGGACTTTGTCGTTCTTGCAATCGTCTTTCGAGCGATGGGGGCAGAGCCTCACTTGGACGTTTCGGTCCATCAAATTGTTGAGCTAATTAGGTAATCAATGTCAGCCCCGGATTGATAAACCATGGTTTATTAATTAGGGGGGTACTCCCCCAATAGTCATAATTTCATACTTAAATGATCCCCCCAATTAAACAGCCGCTCGGGGCTTATTAACCCAGGGTTGACATTATCAAGAAAAGTTGAGGATCAAGATTTGAGTTGGTCTGAGACTGGGGTATATATAGCGGTACACCCTCAAAATGGGGGTACAGTTCCACTAATAAGTGGCTGATAAATCCATAGTTGTAGGGCTTATATTAATCAACTTATGGAGTTTAATACCATGGTTATATATTTCTACCCATGCAAATAAGGTTTTACTGGAACAATACCATAGTTTTACCTTAGATAGTCCATAGTTATCCCAACTCTACCCATCACACTGGTGCTGCCCGCAGATTCTGGGTGCGTGGCAAGAGAATCAGGTCCCTGTGGCTGCATGGTACTCCCTGTGGCAGCCTAGCATCGAATCCGAAAGCCGCATACTGGGGCCATGGCCATATACAACCCATAAATATATACATATATATATATATATACACATATATACATATATATATATATGTATGTATACATATATACATAGATACATAGATACATATATACATAGATACATATCTACATAGATACATAGATACGTAGATACATAGATACATAGATACATATATACATATATACATATATACATGTATACATGTATATATACACATATATACATAGATATATATATATATATACATATAAACATGTATATATATATACATATATGTATATATATATATATGTATACATATATACATAGATACATAGATACATATATACATAGATACATAGATACATAGATACATAGATACATAGATACATAGATACATAGATACATAGATACATATATACATATATGCATATATACATATATACAAATATACATATATACATATATACATGTATATATACATATATACAAATATACATATATACATATATACATGTATAGATATATGCATATATCATATATATATTGAGGTGTTATGGGATAAATTCGCCCTACCACTTTATCAACTCCATGGCCCAACTTCTTGTCAAAAAGCCAGGTGCCAATGGACCTACGATGGACCTAGATGTTGGTCGTCGTGGTTTTAACCACCATGTGGGATGGTTGCCGTACCCCCAAACCCATGCTGCAACTGATGGAATGCAGTCATCACTGCGACCGGCGGCAAGAGCGCCTGCATTTGCAGCCGCGCTTGCATTTCTAGCCGTGATTGCTGCAAGTATTGCCAGGACTGTCCCTGTCAGCGTCAACAGATTCAAAACAATGTCACTCCTTACGTGGGTTGGGTCAAGTCCTTGGGGCACCCAAAATACTTTCAAAAATGACCAGGTCCCATTTGAACATCACCCAACCCACACACAGTAGTTGCACACGCGCCCCGGCCGCGAAGAGTCATGACGCATGCGCGATGTCCAATAAGTATCAATAAGTCGGGTGTCCATCTGATGAATTAGATGAATTACATTACTTAGCTGCCATTCTGCGTAAGTATTGGAAACGGTTGATCCGTTTGACTTGGGGGAGGTCGACCACTTGAGACAACAATGAGAAAAATCATCATGATACTTGAAATCCATTGAAATCCCACCAAAAAGAGGGCATTTGCCAACCTCAGTTAAACCCCCAAAAAGGCCCCAGCTGAAAATCACGTTGGGTTCCGCACTGGCCCAACGTATGGCGTTTGCATCGTCCAGTCGTAGTTGTTCGCCCAGGGTTGCCAGGGTGGAAGAACCTCTGTGGTTGCCTGGGAGAGGGTTCGAAACTGGGTTTGTCCCCAACGAGGCCAACCATGTGGGGTTGTCTGAAAATAGGGTATACTCAATAGATTGACAATGAACAATAGGAATTCAATGATATTTAACTGGGATATGACATCCGATATGGGATATAATGTGGGACAAGTATAACCAACAATGTGCGGTTGTCTGAAAATGGTTTGCATACCCAGTATATACCTAATGTAAATGGGAAATGATGATCAACCATCAAATTGTGGGCTACAATATGTTCAGACAAATCCATGTTGTAACCACCATGAACCCCAAGGAAAAATCATGGCATCATGGGGATCCATTGGCTTCCCTAAAGGCCCTTGATGTTTGGAACCATCCCATTGTGGGGGAACCATATGGAACCCATATGGAATTGATCAGCATCCCATCCACTAGCAGCATCTAGCCTCATATCCGTAAGCATTGTAACCGTCCTGCCATGTTTCTTGCTTTTGGCCTCAGCCAATCTTGGGGTGCCACCAAATAAGTCAACCATAGCAACAAGAAATGTGATTTCACCAACAACAGTTGGATAGTGTATATGTATGTATGTATATATATATACATATAAAATACACATATGTATATATATTTATATATATACATAGTACATATATATAATATATGTAATATATATATATACATAGTACATATATATAATATATATGTAATATATATATAATATGTCTAATGTTATCATATATATAATCTATACATATATATATGTATATATATATGTCTAATATAATATATATATATATACATAATATACAATATATGTATAATATAAAATAACATATCATAATATAATTTAATATAATACAATACAATATAATGTAATATAATATAATGTAATATGTACAATATATACAATATATATAATACAATATATACAATGTATATATACGGCCAAACACCTTGATTTGCCCGCACTTGTCGGCGGCCATCTTCTGATGTGCTGAAAACGTGGTAAAAATGGGAGTTTTTTGCATCACGGGTAACTTGAAGTGGTATATCTCAACGCACAGGTCCCTGACCTGTGCGTGGCTTTTACACAGCATCAACATCATCATCATCATCATCATCATCATCAAACCCTTATTGAAGATCTTCAATGAATGTAGAAGTTTAACGGGGGTGGGAGAATTAAACCCTTATTGAAGATCTTCAATGAATGTAGAAGTTTAACGGGGGTGGGAGAACTAAACTCTTATTGAAGATCTTCCATGAATGTAGAAGTTTAACTGGGGGTGGGAGAATTAAACCCTTATTGAAGATCTTCAATGAATGTAGAAGTTTAACGGGGGTGGGAGAACTAAACTCTTATTGAAGATCTTCAATGAATGTAGAAGTTTAACGGGGGTGGGAGAATTAAACCCTTATTGAAGATCTTCAATGAATGTAGAAGTGTAACGGGGGTGGGAGAATTAAACCCTTATTGAAGATCTTCAATGAATGTAGAAGTTTAACGGGGGTGGGAGAATTAAACCCTTATTGAAGATCTTCAATGAATGTAGAAGTGTACCGGGGGTGGGAGAATTAAACCCTTATTGAAGATCTTCAATGAATGTAGAAGTTTAACGGGGGTGGGAGATTTAAACCCTTATTGACAGATCTTCAATGAATGTAGAAGTTTAACGGGGGTGGGAGATTAAAACCCTTATTGAAGATCTTCAATGAATGTAGAAGTGTAACGGGGGTGGGAGAATCAAACCCTTATTGAAGATCTTCAATGAATGTAAAGTTTAACGGGGGTGGGACATTTATATTCCCTAAATACCCTTGTTGATCTTCCCAATTGAATGTAAAGTCTAACGTTTGATATCCCCAAGTGTACAGCATAGAAGGGGTGTGGGCGAATCGGGGTGTTTGCGCGTATATATACTATATATTATAATATAACAAAAATATTATAGTGTATATATAATATAATAGTATAGTAAATACATTATATATTTTATATGTATACATAATATTACATATATATATATATATATTTATTAGTTTGTGTATATATATATAGAATACTATATTGATATATTTTATTATACTGAAATATTATATTATATATTATATCAGACATATTATATATATATATATTATATATACGCGTGAATATATATCTACATATGTATATATATATATATATGTGTGTGTATGTATATATACAGTATATATATATATATGTGTATGTATGTATGTCTGTCTGCCTGCCTGGCTGGCTGTCTGTCTGTCTGTCTGTCTCTATCTATCTATGTGTCTTTCTTTCTACCTATCTATCTATCTCTCTCTCTCTATCTATCTATCCATCTATCTTTCTTTCGATCTATCTATATATCTCTCTCTCTCTATCTATCTACCGTGCTACCTACCTACCTATCTGTCTATCTATCTATCTATCTATGTATGTACGTATGTATGTATGTATGTATGTGTGTGTGTATGTGTGTATGTCTGCATGTTTGTACATCTGTATGTCTGTATGTATGTCTGTATGTATGTCTCTATGTCTGTATGCCTGTATGTCTGTATGTCTGTATGCATGCATGCATGCATGCATGTATGTATGTACATGTGTATGTATCTATGTATTATGTATATATATATATGTATGTATATGTATATGTATATGTATATGTGTATGTATATATATATACATGTGTATTATATATATACATGTATGTATCTATGTATAGACATATGTGTATCTATATATATTTAAATATACCTATGTAATTATTATGTATGTATATACGGATGTATGTATTATATATGTATATACATATGACGGTTTGCCAAAATGTCTTTTCCTGGTTTTGTTGATAAATCGTAATTCCTTGCGTGCCGCTTCTTATTGTGCCTTTAAGACCATGACTGACCTAAATAGGCTGAAACCCTGCATTCTACCTTTCATGTTTGAAGACGTAGCTAATACCTGCAGTAAATGCTAACGCGCGTCTATATGAAGTGGGTGCCGCTGCTAGTTGTTAGTGGTGGAACTGGAATATCTGCAGAGCTGGTCGTTGCCTTTGCTGTCACCGTTGCTTTGTCAAACAAACAGGATAAACTACAAGTTCTCTAGTGGTGACTGGGTCACGGGTCAACCAAAGCCGTTTTTTGAAACTTTTGCTAGCGCATTGCTAGCGGGGATCTAGCGGGTAAAATTACATACAAATTCGCAAAGTTGAGCCGCAACCTCAAAAATGTAGGAAAGCTGTTGAGTAGCACAGAAATTCACTAAGACACCCTTGGGTTTAAGGAGCTAAGTGTTACATCTGGACTTTTCTTCATGATGAAATAACAAGCAAACAGGAACACAAAAAAATATTCTTGAACATGGGTGTGAAAAAATAAAAACTAGCGCAAACCTAGCGGGTCTGCTAGCGCTGCCTTGCAGAATTGGTGAATTTAGTTGCGTGCCGACTCATAACGAAGAGGAAAAACAACTAGGTCCACACTAATTATCAACAACTAGTACAAAACTTCTGTCAACTATTTTTGGCAAAGAGTCATAGTCATATGTATGTCAATATTCAATATGTATGTTTATTAGGGTATTGATACAACCCGTCAAAGTCATTCACCAAGCGGGTTTTTGTTAATTCTAGCAGCAAATAAATTGAGGCTGACGCGGTCGGCAAAATCCCAGCAAACCTCCCACGCTGGAGGCTTGGTGTGCCACATTTGGTTAAACCAAATTGGCTGGGCACTTTGAAACTTACAATGGCTGAGAATAAAGAGCCAAAGAATTTGGAAGCTGTGACTGAGTGCCGCAATGCGCTATTCACTGCAGGAGACGGATGTTCCGCATCGCTTTTTGATCCCCTTCGCATCGCGAACACCTCCACCCTACTCCGCACACTTGTGCATTGGCGTGGCCTACAGCGTGTCCTGTAGCATTACTACTGCGTAGACCCGATCGCATTTGGCCCAAACCCAAACTTCAAGTGGCTCAGTGACTTTGAATCGGATAGTCCTCTGCCAAATGCTCTGCAAAGGCTTCAATAAAGTTGAAGCAGGTGAAACATGACTGGACCAAGCTGTTCAAGAAGGCGCGGCATTTTGTGATGGTTTTGAGCAAGTCAACAAGCTTGCCTTTGCCCCATACTCGCTTTGTGGTGAAAACGCCCCAGCCCCAACAAAATAAATCAGTTTGGCCAGGCATTGTGAAACGGATGGTGTTTTCTGTATCGTCCACCTGAGATTTCCGCACAGCACCAACATCATCCACCCATTGCCAGATCAGCAGATTCAGGCCAGAGTACGATCATGGTTCATGGAGGAATGACACAACCTGAAAGAAAAAACCGTCGGTCAGCGTCCCAAACATAGATTTTTTTTAAAAAACATTTCCAGGATGTTAGTTCGATGATGTGTTCTCCATCATATGTTCTGGTTTTCAACGTGTCTGTCCGTTCCTATCGACCTTTGGGGGTTGCCATACACTCAAAATGTGTAGAAACATATGGAAACATGGCATCACTGTCCAGCCTCCACCTTCATCCCGGCATCCAGCCTTCATGGAGATGGAGCTCACCATCGAGATATCCGAAATCGAACCAAACAGATTTGGCTGGCAGGTTCACATCTACCCACTTTCAGGTGGATCATTGACGCATTTGACGCTTTTGACGCAAGGCTTTGGGTTGTCCATACCCTACAGATATGCGACGCTTAATCATTTCGTGGCTGAATCCACCATTCTTCGTCATGTGCTACATTTATCATTGAATAATTAGAACACCTATCCCCAACAAAAAACCATCGCCCTGTGGCTATTTAGGTACCATCCCCACCCCTAAGGGGCCCACCTGAGCCATCTGGTGCCACACACCGCGCGCGGTCGCCAGTCTCCGGCGGTGCCTGGAAAATCGGGGACCTCTAAATTTTGGCCATTTCATGAGCCATGGGGAGTGTATTATTTATACATATGTCTGTGTCACTGTGTGTATGTATATATCCGCCGACCCCGGCCGACGCAAGGGGGAGCGCGTAAGGGAAGAAGATGTACTGCACTGCTACTATTTTGGTCGCAATTTTGATGCTTTTCCGTCCTGCAGGGCCCTGCTGCTTGAGCGTGGCAAAGGCGCCGTTTCTGAGCTTGGAAATTCCCATCCGGGAGCTGTCTTTTGAACAGGAGGAGTAGCAAGAGCAAGAGCAGGGGCAGCAGCAGCAGCAGGAGGAAAAAGTAGCTAAAAAATCATCCTTTTCTATGGGTTTCAGAAATTACATTCGGGAGTTTTTGGTCGCAATTTTGATGCTTTTCCGTCCTTGAGGGCCCTGCTGTTTGAGCGTGGCGGAGGCGCCGTTTCTGAGCTTGGAAATTAGGGAGTTTTTGATCGCAATTTTGACACTTTTCCGTCCTTCACTGCCATGGTGTTTTCCCATCCGGGAGCTGTCTTTTGAACAGAAGGAGCAGCAAGAGCAGGAGCAGCAGCAGCAGAAGGAAAAAGTAACTAAAAAATAAAATAATCCTTTTCTATGGGTTTCAGAAGTTACATTAGGCACTTTTTGGTCGCAATTTTGATGCTTTTCCGTCCTTCAGGGCCCTGCTGTTTGAGCGTGGCGGAGGCGCCGTTTCTGAGCTTGGAAATTAGGGAGTTTTTGGTCGCAATTTTGACGCTTTTCCGTCCTTCAGGGCCCTGCTGTTTGAGCGTGGCGGAGGCGCTGTTTCTGAGCTTGGAAATTAGGGAGTTTTTGGTCGCAATTTTGCCGCTTTTCCGTCCTTCACTGCCATGGTGTTTTCCCATCCGGGAGCTGTCTTTTGAACTTTTGAACAGAAGGAGCAGCAAGAGCAGGAGCAGCAGCAGCAGAAGGAAAAAGTAACTAAAAGGGTTTCAGAAGTTACATTAGGCACTTTTTGGTCGCAATTTTGATGCTTTTCCGTCCTTCAGGGAGCTGATTTCTTTCCCATCCGGGAGCTATCTTTTGAACAGAAGGAGTAGCAAGAGCAGGAGCAGCAGCAGCAGCAGCAGGAAAAAGTAACTAAAAAATAATCCTTTTCTATGGGTTTCAGAAGTTACATTAGGCACTTTTTGGTCGCAATTTTGATGCTTTTCCGTCCTTCAGGGCCCTGCTGTTTGAGCGTGGCGGAGGCGCCGTTTCTGAGCTTGGAAATTCCCATCCGGGAGCTATCTTTTGAACAGAAGGAGTAGCAAGAGCAGGAGCAGCAGCAGCAGAAGGAAAAAGTAACTAAAAAATAATCCTTTTCTATGGGTTTCAGAAGTTACATTAGGCACTTTTTGGTCGCAATTTTGATGCTTTTCCGTCCTTCAGGGCCCTGCTGTTTGAGCGTGGCGGAGGCGCCGTTTCTGAGCTTGGAAATTCCCATCCGGGAGCTGTCTTTTGAACAGAAGGAGTAGCAAGAGCAGGAGCAGCAGCAGCAGCAGCAGCAGCAGGAGGAAAAAGTAGCTGAAAAATCATCCTTTTCTATGGGTTTCAGAAGTTACATTAGGCAGTATTGTCCTTTTCTATGGGTTTCAGAAATTACATTAGGGAGTTTTTGGTCGCAATTTTGATGCTTTTCCGTCCTTTAGGGCCCTGCTGTTTGAGCGTGGCGGAGGCGCCGTTTCTGAGCTTGGAAATTAAGGAGTTTTTGGTCGCAATTTTGACGCTTTTCCGTCCTTCACTGCCATGGTGTTCTCCCATCCGGGAGCTGTCTTTTGAATCCCATCCGGGAGCTGTCTTTTGAACAGAAGGAGCAGCAAGAGCAGGAGCAGCAGCAGCAGAAGGAAAAAGTAACTAAAAAATAATCCTTGTCTATGGGTTTCAGAAGTTACATTAGGCACTTTTTGGTCGCAATTTTGATGCTTTTCCGTCCTTCAGGGCCCTGCTGTTTGAGTGTGGCGGAGGCGCCGTTTCTGAGCTTGGAAATTCCCATCCGGGAGCTATCTTTTGAACAGAAGGAGCAGCAAGAGCAGGAGCAGCAGCAGCAGAAGGAAAAAGTAACTAAAAAATAACCCTTTTCTATGGGTTTCAGAAGTTACATTAGGCCTTTTTTGGTCGCAATTTTGATGCTTTTCCGTCCTTCAAGGCCCTGCTGTTTGAGCATTAGGGAGTTTTTGGTCGCAATTTTGATGCTTTTCCGTCCTTCAGGGCCCTGCTGCTTGAGCGTGGCGGAGGCGCCGTTTCTGAGCTTGGAAATCTGAGCTTGGAAATTAAGGAGTTTTTGGTCGCAATTTTGACGCTTTTCCGTCCTTCACTGCCATGGTGCTTTCCCATCCGGGAGCTGTCTTTTGAACAGAAGGAGCAGCAAGAGCAGGAGCAGCAGCAGCAGAAGGAAAAAGTAACTAAAAAATAATCCTTTTCTAAGGGTTTCAGAAGTTACATTAGGCACTTTTTGGTCGCAATTTTGATGCTTTTCCGTCCTTCAGGGCCCTGCTGTTTGAGCATTAGGGAGTTTTTGGTCGGAATTTTGATGCTTTTCCGTCCTTCAGGGCCCTGCTGTTTGAGCGTGGCGGAGGCGCCGTTTCTGAGCTTGGAAATTAGGGAGTTTTTGGTCGCAATTTTGACGCTTTTCCGTCCTTCACTGCCATGGTGTTTTCCCATCCGGGAGCTGTCTTTTGAACAGAAGGAGCAGCAAGAGCAGGAGCAGCAGCAGCAGAAGGAAAAAGTAGCTAAAAAATCATCCTTTTCTATGGGTTTCAGAAGTTACATTAGGCACTTTCTGGTCGCAATTTTGATGCTTTTCCGTCCTTCAGGGCCCTGCTGTTTGAGCGTGGCGGAGGCGCCGTTTCTGAGCTGTTTTTGGTCGCAATTTTGATACTTTTCCGTCCTTCAGGGCCCTGCTGTTTGAGCGTGGCGGAGGCGCCGTTTCTGAGCTTGGAAATTAGGGAGTTTTTGGTCGCAATTTTGCCGCTTTTCCGTCCTTCACTGCCATGGTGTTTTCCCATCCGGGAGCTGTCTTTTGAACTTTTGAACAGAAGGAGCAGCAAGAGCAGGAGCAGCAGCAGCAGAAGGAAAAAGTAACTAAAAGCGTGGCGGAGGCGCCGTTTCTGAGCTTGGAAATTCCCATCCGGGAGCTATCTTTTGAACAGAAGGAGTAGCAAGAGCAGGAGCAGCAGCAGCAGCAGCAGCAGAAGGAAAAAGTAACTAAAAAATAATCCTTTTCTATGGGTTTCAGAAGTTACATTAGGCACTTTTTGGTCGCAATTTTGATGCTTTTCCGTCCTTCAGGGAGCTATCTTTTGAACAGAAGGAGTAGCAAGAGCAGGAGCAGCAGCAGCAGAAGGAAAAAGTAACTAAAAAATAATCCTTTTCTATGGGTTTCAGAAGTTACATTAGGCACTTTTTGGTCGCAATTTTGATGTTTTCGCGTCCTATTTTTCCCCCCCTGGGCCCTGCGTTGAGCGTGGAGGAGGCGCCGTTTATGAGCTTGGAATTTCCCATCCGGGAGCTCATCTCTTTGAACAGGAGGGAAAAGGAGTAGCAAGAGCGAGCAGCAGCAGCAGCAGAAGGAAAAAAGTAACTAAAAAATAATCCTTTTCTATGGGTTTCAGCAGGCACATAGGAATTTTTGGTCGCAATTTTGATGCTTTTCCGTCCTTCAGGGCCCTGCTGTTTGAGCGTGGCGGAGGCGCCGTTTCTGAGCTTGGAAATTCCCATCCGGGAGCTGTCTTTTGAACAGAAGGAGTAGCAAGAGCAGGAGCAGCAGCAGCAGCAGCAGCAGCAGGAGGAAAAAGTAGCTGAAAAATCATCCTTTTCTATGGGTTTCAGAAGT